GGTGATGGTGTGCTGCCTCATCTATAGCGTGGGATAGAGAACGCTGGTGGAGAGGGACATCGATGTTGTCAAGGTCAGACCACTCGGGATGGGCAGCAGCGACTGCGAGGGAAGCTAGAGTGGAGTTGGTATGGGGAGAGATGCCATATTGGTGACCCAGTATTCTCTCCACTATTTGCGAGCTCTGGAGAGAGGAGGCGAGGAAAGCCGCAGGAGCATGGAGGGATGCACTTCGAAGATTGAGGCCACCTAGACTGCTGGGGAGAGATGCCTTGAGCCAAGACCAATCAGACATGGGTCCACCCACAGTAGTCTCCAGGGCATCACGAACAGCATTGTCGAACTCCTCGGCCGCATGACGAATGTGGCTGATAGGGCAGGTGCGGAGAATAAAAGAAACCTTGGGGAGGGCAAGACACGAGCGTAGGAGCGAGGTCTCCATCTGTGAGTCAGCGATGTCTCGTAGAGCCTCCAAGGAGGACTTCACCTTCGTAACCCGCCCCCCAAAGACCTCCTCACAACAGGAAGGGGGGCCAATGGGGCAGCCAAGGAGGGTGAAACCACAACGAGTGGTAGGGATGTCGGACGGGAGGGAGGAGAGTGAGGCATCGGATTCCTCAGGGATGAAGAGGAGAGATTTTGCTCGGTTTAGGTGGAGTCCCGCTGAGGGGCCGTCATCCTCGATTATACGGAGTGCAGCCGCCAGGTCCTCGGGAGATCCCATCAGGGTACCGTCATCGAGGTACCATGCATTCAGAACAAGGCCAGTAACCTCCGACTTGATGCGTTCAACCACAGGGTGTAGTGCAAGAGAGAACCCTAATGGACCCAGGGGGTCCCCTTGCTGCACCCCACAGCAGCTGTGGATGGTGTTCGAACCCAGGTAGAGAAGAGGTTGGGAGGAGTAACAGAACTCCATCCACGCTGACAGAGAAGGGATGCGCCGCCGAACCTCCACAAACATGGACTCTCTGTTGATGCTGTTGAAAGCGTTGCTGAAATCGAGTAGGAGTGTCCAACAATGCTCAGGTGTTGCTGATGACATCAACTGGGAGACAGAATGGATGATAGCCTCACAGCCTCCTTTAACACTCACCCCCAGCTGAAGAGGTGCAAGAGAATTGAAAGCTTCATGGCGGGTGGCAGAGGAAAGAGACTTAGAGACTAGCCGTCGGAGCACCTCACCAACTGCGATGGGCCTGAGACCTCCATTTTTCTTTCGAGATGCGAGGAGAGTGGCACCACAGAGATGAGGGCAGATGGAAGAAGGTGCCCTGCCAGTGGCAAGAAGGTTCACAAACTTCGTCAGGGAAGTGAGAACCTGACAGGCTCGATCAGGGGAGGGGCAACACACCGCTTCATGAAGATGGCTGGGGCGGAGACCAGATGGACCGGGGGCTGAACCTTTGGGGAAGGACTTCACTCCCTGAAGGACGACTCGATCGGAGACCTCCACTGATGGAGGCGTGGGGCCAGGAGGGAGCGTGGGAGGTGGGGCCTGTGGATGCTTATCCTGCATTTCTTGGATGACCATGGGGGAGGGTGAGGCTAGGCCTTCAGAGGAGAGGGCCTGAATGGCTTTGCTAAACTGACCATTCTGAACTGCCAATCTGGCTCTCCTGGCATTGCTACTTCGCTGTGATGAGGTTGATGCAGAGGAAACAGCACGCTTGGAGAGGGAACGAGCATCAGCACAGGCATCTGACCATAGGGAGGCTACCTCCCCAGAAAACCATCTCTGTAGGCGACCCCTCACCTGTTGGAGGATCTCTCGCCATGGGAGCCTGCGGCCAGCAGCAGGACTAGCCAATATACACTTAGGGAGCATGAAGAGCCTGGCCCATAAACCCAGGTCGGCAGGGTTGCGGACGATTTCAGTGAGGCAGCCATGGAGTGCCTTGGCCCAGCAGTCTCTGACCCCTTTGGGGACATGTTGGAGAGTGGGAATGTAGGTCTGGAGGATGGTAGAAAGAGGTGGTAGAGTGGGGGAAGAGGCTACAGGAGCAGGATGCGGACGGGGAGCAGGATGCGTGGGAGGAGGGGGAGGAGCCGAGGCGGGAAGGGAAGGGGCCATGGCAGGGGCTCCAGCGGTCCTGGAGGCAGGAGCATCGGCAGAAGAAACTGCAGAAGCAGGCGCAGCTGACGCGGAAGGGGGGGTAGGAGGCGCAAACGTCAACGGGCGGGAGCGTGTGGCTGGGTGACGGTTATGGCAGTTGTTTGAGTCCCCTGGCAGGCAACACGAGCAGGCCCTATTCGATCTCACACAAATACATCGGACACACTTCGCTCGTCCATTGCAACGACAGCAACGCTGTGATGACGTGGAGGGACGAGGCGAGGAAGACATTAGATCACAACCCGCAATTCTGCGCATGCGCTCAAAGGTTTAAAGATGCATTACCAGCAGTTGGGCACTTGTAGTGTTGATACAGCCTTTGATGATAGTTGGAAAGAGGAAGTGGATAAGAAAGTGTGTGAGTTTCCAACAGATTGTGTGGAAAATAGGGAAATAGATTTGGAGGAGATTGCATTGTGTGTTAGAAAGTTGAAGAAAAATAAGACTGGTGGTAGTGATGGGCTTGTGGGGGAGCTTCTAAAGCATGGTGGGTCAGGGATGGTAGAGTTACTTAAACAGTTGTTTACAGTAATTTGGCGTGATGAGTTTGTGCCACCACAGGGCCTCATAGTTAACTTGTTTAAGAAGGAGGATCCTGGGAATTATAGGGGCATCACTCTGGTTGGGAAGGTCTTTTGTAAGGTATTGAACAATAGGTTGGTGGTGCATCTGGAAGAGGGCAAAGCATTGTATGAGGACCAGGCTGGTTTTAGGGTTGGAAGGGGTTGTGTTGATAATAATTATTTATACGCTGAATGAACTCGTACAGGGTAGACTAAAGGAGGGGAAGGAGACATATTCTTTCTAGATGTGCAGAAGGCATACGATAGTGTGTGGCGTAACGGTCTGTGGGTTAGGTTGTGGGAATTTGGGGTAAGAGGGAAGGGAAGATGTGGAGGGTCATAAAGAAGATGTACGAGTATGCTATATTGTTGGATGGGGGGAACGGTCAGAGACATTTGATGTGGAACAGGGGTAGCTCAGGGATGTAGCTTATCTCCAATTTTGTTTTCCGTATTCCTCAATGGGTTGTTGAGGGAGGTGGAGGAAGCTGAGATTGGGATCGATTTAATAGTGGTGGGAGACTTGGAGGACTTTTGTTTGCAGATGACTTCGTTGGTGTTAGTGAGTCTAAGGATCTGTTACAGATGCTTATAGATGTGGTGCATGCTTACTGTCGAAAATGGAGGCTAAAGGCTAATGTGAGTAAGAGTGCAGTGATGGTGTTCGCTAGGGAGTCAGTGGATGGTGCTTGGAAATGGGGGGAGTATGTTTTGCCTAGAGTATCTAAATACACATACTTGGGTGTTGATTAACCCTCGGCGCGCATGCGCATCGAGGGTTACGGTAGTCTGTCTGTCTGTGTCGACGCTTATACAGGTCACGTGGTGGCGAATGAGCGATACCAACGGCTTCATAACTGAAAAATTATTAGGCGATTTCCCTGAAACGACTGCGTTCGAGAGATATGCCGTGAAAACAAGCGAAAAAGCCAATATGTATATTAGAACTGGGCTTACCGCGACCTGATCCGCTCGCTCCTGTGTATATACCTTGGTGGCTCAGGAAGTCTCAACGAATGGCGTTTATCGACTCCCGCATGCTATGTACTACTGTAGCTAGCCAGTGTCAGACTCTCCGTGAGCTATATACTAGCGGCAGACCACGGAGTAAACGCATGAATAGCCCAGCCCATCAATTAGCAGTATCGCGCGCATGCGCAGTTCGCCGAGGGTTTGCACTTTCGTATAACTGGTGCATGGGATGTGCATATCAAGAATGTGTTGGAAGGAAGGTTAGCATAGTGTAATAGGGATATTAATTTGAGTGCTCGCAGGTTGTTGTTGCTGGCGGTGGTTAGGCCAACTTTAGAGTATGGGGGTGAGGTGTGGGAAGCCAATAAGACTCAGGCAGCTGCGTTAGAGTCCGTTATGCTGGGAGGAGCTAAGCGCATTCTTGTAAGACATGTAATGAAGCCATTAGGGGGGATATGGGGCTTGATACGTTAGGGATAAGAATGGTGGTATAAGTTAGTGGCATTGCCAGGCAATAGATCCGAAGAAGCTTTTTAATCAGGAATGGAGCCACAGAGAGGCTGGCAGAGGAAGGGTTGGAGTAAGGTCATTGATGATCTCTTTTCGTCATTAGGCCTTGACAAGACAGAGTGGTTGCATGATATTCAAAATGGGTCCTTGAAGGTCTTTCTGTCTATAATAGGGGACAGAGAGGGAGATTAGAAAGTTTGAAGAGGGGCTAAATAGCAAAGTAAAGCTGTTATTGTCAAGGTGGTAGAGTTAAAAAAGTACTTGCATGGGAAAAGTGACGCTGGGTCTAGATTAATGTTTAAGTTCAGGTCAGGCATGCATGGGCTAAATGAGGAATTGTGTAGGCATAGGGGGGGAGGGGGTGAAGGAGTGCCTGTGTGTTGTGCCAGCATATAGTAGTCTTAGGAGCAATTTCTTAGTTTCTCTGCAGGGGAAGCTTGCATGGGGATGATGGGTTTGAGCATTTCCAGTTGCTTGATAGTTTCAGGAAAGTATGGGTAGTGAACTGTGGGAGGATAAATTTGGTTCTTTGGTTGGCCATGTTAAAGATTTTTTATTTTGGATGTTTGGGAGCTACGAAAGGTTAGGTTATACGGCGATAGTCCACGCGTACAACTAACCCAGTCTTAGATTGCGCCTGGGAAGCTGCAGGGTGTCGCTGGTGGAAGGGGTGAGTTGAGGTGTCTTGGAGGTGAGACAGACACCTCATGTTCATATGGTGTATGTTCGTTTGTTAACGGTTCCGCCCATTGCTCTGGGTGCGTGGTCCATGGCCCTCATGCTATGGCAGCCACCCGAGTATTATTATTATTATTGACAAGATTTGACGAAGACACTACGTAAGGCAAGAGATGACTGCCAGGAGATATGTATGCAGTTGGCTGTATAATTATACAAAAATTACTGCTCCTAGCTTAGTCCCCACATTTATGTGACAAAGGTACTTAGCAACTGTAGCTTATAAGATGGCAGGTAGCCAAGGGTGTCAGTCTATTTTGTCTCTGTATTTTAAATAAAAACACAAAAAGTATAACACACTGGATAAGTTAAAGTTAAATTATAAATCTAACTAATAGTCATAAAGAAGGCTCATTGCCTCTGCTGTACTAGCTCGAACATCTGGTGAGGGGTCCTTCAGGAGAAGTGTCAGTGCTAAATGGGCAAAAACACTATATTAGAGGAGTTTCTCCTGACATTATAGACACAGAGGTTTGGCAAGCAAAATTAATTATGGTGTATGATGACAGGGTCGGATAGATATAAAATTCGTATTCAGTTAAGATTCTTTTGCTTGTTCTTCTCTGTACAAGATTAAAGTCTGAGTGAGGTAAAAAGGCAACCTACCTTAAATTTTAGTGACGCTGGCTCAAATGTAATGCACATGCAGGCTGTCTAAGAAGCAAAGTTTAACACCTGCATCTTTCAGGCGTGTGGCTTAGGCACTGTATTTAAGAAATTGATGTGGTTTGTGCTGCACATGGTTGCTAACAACATGACCTAAGGAAACACCCAAGGGTTTTGTGTCAGGTGAGTATTGGCTGATATCAGCAGCTAGGTTCATCAGCACAGATTAAGGGTGATGCTTCAGTGGATGCATTACATGGCCCTATAAGCACCCAAGTACAAAAAATTCAAGCTATGTGCAAAATTAATGCTGAAGAAATAGTGTGGTGTCAGCCCTGTTCTTACAACTGTTTGCAGGCTGTCCTGGTATAAGTATATAGCTACTGTACGTTATATATTATAGGAAGAAAACTTTCATGATTAATGAGAGAAAACTTTCAGCAGATTTGCTGTACTGCAATACAAATAATGTCTCCGTCAACAAAATCTTGCAGAGAAAACATGTGAAAAAGTGCCAATATACAGTACCCCTCGAGGCATTGGGCAAATAAGTTGCCTAAGGGTTTAGGAAGCTCATTTGGGCCAAAGGTGTTTGTGGTAAAGAGCCAACTACAAAACTGTCCTGCTTACTACTTGGTCATTAACCCTCGGCGCGCATGCGCAGCGAGGGTTACGGTAGTTACCCTCGGCGCGCATGCGCAGCGAGGGTACTGTAGTTGGGTGTGTGTGTGTGTCTGTTACTCTCAATCTCACTTCTCGAATGTCTGTTCGTCCCAGAAACGCTACCATCTACCCAACGGGCGACGAAGGTCAGAAAATATGTGGGGTTTTCTCTGAAAATGCTCCGTTGCAGAGCTAGAGCGCTTCCACCATTGTACGGCTAATGCGTAGTCGGCCATTTTTATCGCTGCGGAAAATGCGCATGCGCTTATAACCTCGACCGGGTCGTCCGCTTGCTCTGTGTATCTTGAAGGCACAAGAAGTCACAACGAAGGGCGTGTATCTACTCTCGCATACTATCTACTACTGTAGCTAGCCCGTGTCAGACTCTCTGCGAGCTACTAGCGGGAGATCACGAGTAAACGCATACTAATAGCAGCTCAGCCCATCAATTAGCGGTACCGCGCATCCCCAGTTCGCCGAGGGTTTGCACTTTAGTGCTTTTCATTGGGTCTGTCTGTCTGTCTGTGTGTCTGTCTGTCTGTGTGTCTGTCTGTTACTCGTCATCTCACTTCTCGAGTGTTCGTTCGTCTCACAAAGGATACCACCTACTGAACGGGCAATGAAGGTCAGAATATATGTGTGGTTTTCGCTGAAAACGCTCCGTTGCAAAGCTAGAGCGCGAAAAAGCCAATATGCAAATACACAACGGCTTACTACGGCATGATCGATCCGCGTGCTCTGCGTACCTCGGAGGCACCAGAAGATGCAACGCAGGGCGTGTATCGCCTCTCGCATGCTATCTAGTAGTGTAGTTAGCCCGCGTCAGACTCTGCGCGAGCTGGCAAGAGACCACGGGTAACAGCTAAAACTAAACCCAGCCCAGCAATTAGTAGTACGGCGCATGCGTTTACTTACGCGTCACAGTACGCCGAGGGTTTGCACTTCAGTGCTTTTCATTCTCTCCATCACTACCCAAATTCATAACTCCAACAGTAATATTTCATCTTGGGTACAAAATCTCTTCCAGTATAGCTAACCTTCACACACGTGTTCCTTTGAGATCATTCCCGACTTCTCTAATGGAAGGTTTCCCAATATATAACCTAAGTTAACAAATGAAGGATTCCATTATAGTCACATTGTTTCCATAGATGTTCTTACCTACTAAGAGGGCTGCATTAGCTTTAACCGGTGACCACATACTTTTAAAAAAGGTAACAGCATTCATTATGTAGAAGTTGACTTTATCTGTGAAATCTGTTACCTACTGGGCATAAATATGTTCAAGTAAGGACACCATAACAAATAAACTTACAATATGTTTGCATAGATCATTTAAAAAATCAGGATAGAAAAGTGATTCTGCAGGGTCAAGGTGTCTTTGAAACATTGTGTTGATGTTCTCCGACTTCATAAGTGGTCCCAACTTCTGCAGAGCTTCCTTACATGCCTGTAATTGGTTATACTGAAACTATACAGACACACTGCATATACTAGAACAAATGCAACGTAATTTCTATGATCAAAATACTAGTGCGAATTTTCAGCAGATTTTAGAATGACAGTGTCGTGGCCACCTACAGGCCTAGTAAACATGATAATTCAATGAATGTAGTCTTTGAGTAAAGATATTCGAACAAGGATTAGCAATACTTCTCTCGAATGCGTCTGTACTCTGGCTTGATAGCAACAGCAAGAAGACTAATACAGCTGTGTGGCATTTCCATACTGCACTGGTCACTGAAGGGAGTTGTTTTTCTAAGTCACACTGTCTGTTTGAGCATGCTCTACCGGCAATTATTTGCTCAGTGGAGTGTCATACAGATAGCATGGAACAGAATTAATTGGGCTTTCATTCAGGACCTACAGTTGGCAGGTAGATGGCCATCAGATTCAAGTATTTGTTATCATAACTCTCAAACATAGTAGTTTTAGAAAGTTGTTTTTATGATACACATGCCCTTTGGGCACTGAGGCTGTTGGTATTGCTTGGTGGCTGACTCCTAGCACTAAAGTGTGTAATAATGATAACAGAAAACAGATAGACACATAGACAGACATACACACAGACCAAGTCTGTAACTCTCGCTGAGTTGGTTACTCACCACAACCACCACTGGATCGCTCTCATTTAGATGCAATAGTAGGCTGACAAAGTTGGTCTGAATCTGCTCAAAAAATGGCCCCTCAGATGGCCCACTACCAAAGCGAGATAAAGTGCCGAAGAGGGTGAATGCTGCTGCTCTGACTGCTGGAGTGGGCTGCAAAATGCATATGTAAAGTGAAAGCCACTCACAGGGACTGAAAGGTGACAAGAGTATAGGTCTAGTGGTAGAAAGAAAGTTTGCAGAAGTTGTGGAAAACTACTTCTAAACCTCAGCAGCAGAACATGGACGCATTCAAGTTAGTCAAAATGTGTGTAATATGGGATTCTGCTCCATGCTTATTACATTATGACACATAAAAGCTTAGCACACATGTGAAACAGAAACAGTGCCCGATTTTCTACCATCTTGCTGTCACTGAGCAACAAAATCTTGTACACACCATCATAACTGCTAGATTCGGAAGGCTAGTGTACACTGCCAAATATTGGAATCTACCTACTATCAAGTGATTATCGGCGCTACTCAGAGTGCTGTTTCTATATGAAACTTCCGACCGTGTACCAAGTTTTACGGCGCATCAATGCTGCGGCTCTTCTTCAGCCCTTTTCTTTAATCATCAGTGCCACTTTTCAGCGCCGTAATGGCTTGAAACCTTAGTCGTCATCATCTCCCATTACTGTCAACTGAGCAGCTATTTGAAGCACTATTCCAAGGTAAGACAGGAAAGGATGTGCTTTGTATAGTGGAGTCGGTAACGGGAGAGGGGACACCTTTGTGCTGACTATGTGTGGAATAATAGATGGTGGCAAAGTTCAAGGAACGTCAAGGATATTTGTCACAGAGATTTGGGGGAGAGGAGACAGCACGGCACGTATGGACACAATGAACCAAGAGACCTACTTAAGCTCGCTGCACGACTCTGTCATGTCAAAACATGGTCTGTTGGACAAACCATCACAGATTTACAATGTGGACGAGCAGACGTTCCATTCAATCTATGTCCACAATCAAGGTGATCACTACCAAAGGATAGGTGTCGTTGCGTTATAGCCTGGATAGCGGTAAAGTGGCCTTGCTGTTAAGGGTCACGAGCGCTATTCTACTTCAGACCTGCTGTTTCTGCTCTTCCTCCTACTCGTTGGCCACAGTGTGCACTATCAGCCACAAGTCATCTGCCTGGCATAGGAGCACAAATGCATTGCAACTGTACACACTACCCATGAAGTGCAACACTTGATGTCTGCATCTTTGCGCCACTAAAGGTATATACATCGGATGAAAGTGTGGTACGGATTTGACCAGTAGCACAGTGTTGTCATAAAGTAAAAAAATTCGTCTTTATTCGCAAGTGTGATGTAATGCTGCTACTCCTGCAAATGCAATGCCTGAGTTCCCGAGAGCAGGAGTTCATCCTTTTAATCCAAATGCTATTTCCATGACTGAGCATGGATAGCAGCAACACCCCATGCAGAGATGAATTGTCTCCACTTCTAACATTAGCGATGCAGTCCTTGTCAACAGTTCCACACCGCTGCTCCTGCTCGGACACTGGACCAGTCGTTGGTGACTTCAATTTCTCATTGGATCAAGACAAACTCTACAAGCTTCGCTATCAAGAAAATCTTCCTGACACTATGTACGTGTAAAGAATGGCCAAAGTTACGTCACCCAGGGTGCTATCGACCTACTTCATCACTGATCATCTCTCCACAAGAGTTGTCACTCATGGGTGTGACACCACTCACTCCCATTGTGGTGGACCACTCCAACCCCTGCTTCTTCATTTCTAAGGCCACCTATACTCCACTATCCCTTAGCAGTGAAGTGAATAACGACAGCTCTCTTTAGTGGTTTTATCAGCTTCTACACCTTCTGTACCTACAAGAACAAAACCACGTACACATGTGGCTTGAGAACTGGTGCAATACTCGAAATGTCGGAGGAGAACGAACAGAATAGGAATGGGAAGAGAATAAACGGAAGAGAGAGAGGGTCATAATTGAAGACAGGGAGAATGGGTCAGGAAGGCAGAAGTGAAAGGCAAGCAGAAGGAACAAACGGCAGCAGAAAAGGCTCACAAACCAATAAGAGTCACAAATAAGCTGACAGTACGGTGTGACACCCCAACATTCTCCACAAGGAATAGTGCGCAGCCAGCACTGAAGAAAGCTCGAACTCGAAATGAGACCATGAGAAAGTGGTAAAGTAAATACTACTCTGTCTGTCATTCTACGGTTATTCAGGCACTACAGGCTACGAAACGGCTTCAGAACTACAAGAGCAAGAAAAAAAAGTGTTTTCCTGAAATGAAAGTGAAAAAGCCAGCAGTAAGGATAATCAGAATTGGCTGTACTTAGCCAGGGTTTGCTGGTTCATCGCACCGTTGAGGGATAAAGTAACTCGGGGGATTTGTGCTTTCAATGCTACCCACTGATAGAGCTAGTCTCTATTAGAGCAGCCCGGCCCATCAATTAGCGTGTGATGCTTTATGTGCATGCAAACATGATTAATAACATTTGCATGCATTCCTTGTGCCGAGGGTTTGCACATTAGTCATTTTCTACTACAACCCGTGCGTATTTATGCAGAACGTTCATCTATAACATGTCACAGGTGTTTTGTGGATACATATATACCTTTTCAAAGCATGGTCGAATTCTGAGAGCAATGTTGATAAGGATAGGTCTAACATGTCCCTCATCAATCTGAGAGAAGATACGAGAGAGTCCTGACATGGCTTCCATAGTGATGAGGTCCTCAGGGTCCTCTCTGTCATCCATGCCAGCCAGCATTGCACTCAGGATAGTGGTGGAGAAATGAGACACCTTTTGTAGTAAGGTACAAAACAAAGGAGTGTCAACAATTGGGCAAGCAAAACGAGTGCTTTATTATGCACAACTTCCCTGACTACAATTACTTCTGTACACTGTCCAAGTGCAGCATTGATTATTATGTCACCACATGCATAGTAGACCATAGCTGGTTTTCTTGTTTTAACTGATTTCAGGAGTACAATCCTTTTCCTACCACAACCGACCTCATAATTAGTTTCAGTCTTACTATACGAAAACAGCAATTTGTGTATGAGTTTAAAAGGACCAGTCAAACAACTGCAGGGAGGAGTGTGCACCTGCTAGTTTGCTTCATGAGAATCGTATGGGATAATCAAGGTTTTCGTTATTTCTCCACACACAGGCAGGTTCTGATGCCAAACTTAGTATGTACTTTCTTAACGCACACATTTAAAGAAGCGAGTGTCCTTATCAACCCTTGGCACGCATGCGCAGTGAGTAGGTTACAGTAGTTGGGTTGTATATAGTGTGTCTGCCTGTCTATCTGTCTGTCATTCTGCCTTTTACTACATTTCTGCCACCATGCACAACAAGTTGGCCAAAAAGTGATACCAACAAGTTTAACTGGCTTGGAACACTAGTACTGACTCCAGCAATGCTAGTGCCAGACTCAGCGAGCAGGGGAGAAACCAAGTTGGGGACCCGGCCAGGCCTAGTGGCCCATAGTAGCTAATGACCCACTTTTATACGCTTTGCAATGCTGTGCCAAGGGTTTTACATTATTTTAGTGTCTTTCGTGTGGAATCACCATTCACTCCTGCGACTTACGGTTCTTAGTGCCGAGAGCCATGTATTTAAAGTGATTACTTAAGTAATACGAGAAAATTGCATGCACTTAAAGCTACATGTAGATGTGTTCCTTTTTTTTGATAGGAAATCATTGCACTACGATAACAGCTTAAGCCTTTGGGATTATAAGCAAGAAGTTTACTATTAATACCCATAGCTACGTACATTGACTTTCAGAGCAAAAGATACATGCGTAGCTACCACAAAACACATAATGATTAGGTAGTGGCATACCTGGCTACCACCAATGTCAGCCATGTTTCCAAGTCCTCGAATGCAGTACATGCGCACAACATAGTTGCTGTCGACTTGCCTTCCCAGGAGATTGTTCATGATTTGTTCTGCTAGTGGTAGATGGTCCTTCCCAACTGTGCACACCAACTAGAGCAAAATAAAATGGTGAATATAGGGATGGCGTAAAAAAGACAAGGCATGTAGCCCTCATCCAAGGTACTATGCACCGATCATCTCCCTTGTCTTATTCCGACTTTTGAATGCAATTTTTGGCGAACAAAGCGATCAGTTCAATATTTCGCGTATATTTAGATTCAGCAGGCTTCTTCTGTTGCAAGACCTTGAGAATAGTTTTTGACTCATCGGCGCACATGTGCAGCAAGGGTTACAGTAGTTGGTTTGTCTGTCTGTCTGTGTGTGTGTCGATGCTTATTCTGGCACTACAGTCTGTTCTATTAACGATACAAAATAAAGAGGCGATTTTCCTGAAATGACTGCGTTTGAGATATATGCCATGAAAACAAGTGAAAAAGCAAATATTCAAACCGCACTGGGCTGCCTGATCCACTCACCCTGTGTACCGTGGAGGCTCAAGAAGTCACAACGAAGGGCATGTATCAACTCCCGCATGCTATCTACTTGTGTAGCTAGCCCGTGTCAGACTCTCCGTGAGCTACTAGCGCGGAGACACGACATTAAATGCATACTCTTGGCCCAACCCATCAATTAGCGGTACCGCGCATGTGCAGTGCACTGAGGGTTTGCACTTTAGTGATCTTCGGGTAGGCTGGATCCAACGAATTCCAAAGTCAATGATATGGTGACATTGATCGGCTCTGGCAAGCCATTGCACAACATATATCTGTCTGGGTGTAACATCTCACAACTAGGTCATCTAGTCTCGTGGAGCCAGCACCGCACGACACCTGGTAGGTTTAGTTTACAGCACGAGAAGAACGAGCCTGTTTGAGTTGAACAGTGAATAGCTCTTGCTACAAGTCGCCTAGGGCTCACTGTAAAATGTTCGAAACTTAAGCATGGGCACACTACTTTACGCTTTGAAGGTGCAAGAAGCATGAAAGCCACTGTTATTAGTCGTTTCTCTAATTGGCTGCCTGTTTCAGGCAGTTTTACGCGTGTGCGCACGAACCAGAGCAAGAAGTTTTTGTGTACCCTTGTTGTCAATTAAAAAAGGAAGATGTGGCTGAAAGCTGGTGGAGAGTCTTCCAGGAAGCCTAGCTTTTTTTTAGTTACTTGGAGAGCACCGTTCTCGTTGCACTGTTAGACGTGGTTTATTGGCTTATTAAGGTGGTTTATTGCATGCGCAGCGAGGGTTACAGTACTTGGTTTGAAAGTGTGTGTCTCTCCGTTGTTACCACGTTTTCTGCAACTACGTGCAACGAGACAACAAAACAGCGATACCAACGGGTTCATCGCTACGCTGGCTTAATTTTAAAAAGGTGATTTTCGTATAACCACTGCGTTTGAAAGTTATGGCAAGTGAACAAGCCAATATGCAAATTAGCACAGGCTTACTACCTCGACCGGGTCCACTTGCTCTGTGCACCTTGGAGGCACAAGAAGTCACAACAAATGGACTCCCGCATGCTATCTTCTGCTGTAGCTAGCCCGTGTCAGACTCTCCGCGAGCTACTAGCAGGAAAAATGTATACTGATAGCCCAGCCGATCAATTAGTAGTATGGTGCATGCGCAGTTCGCCGAGGATTTGCACTTTAGTGCTTTTCATTTAGACTGTAAGTTGTGTACTACTTGTGGTGGACTGATAAAGCACTCTATTTGTAGGCATTGGTTTAAGCTGAGGCACTGCTGCATTGTTGAGAGGGTTTGCACTTTAGTGCTTTTCATTTAGACTATAAGTTGCGTACTACTTGTGGTGGACTGATAAAGCATTGGTTTAAGCTGAGGTATTGCTGTATTGTTGAGTTGCTTTTGTTCCTCTACGTGACGCTCAGCCTCAGCCCTAGCTCCTTTTTTGCGTTTCTTCCTGCCGCCCAGGACGAAAATGTATGAGTTTGAATCACAAAGAACCACATCTGGTTTAAATTTTTTGCTAATATGCGGCAAAAATGAGTTTTCACAACCACGGATGTGATCTTTTGACGCCACAGCCTTGTACTCCTTGCGTTACTAAGTGTGGCTATGCCGCACTAACTCAAGAGATGGTGGTGATACAAAATTATTGGACTGAATATGCAACCACCCCAATTGTACGGTATTTTCCATACTTTTTAAATAATGATTTTATCATTGTACCTCAGAGTAAAAGGACACAACTGTGGTCCGGTGAGCATCATAGACACTAGTGAGGCTAGGACTGAGGCACTCCACTGTTTTTCCTACTTCATCTGGGTAGCTGCTTGAGAGCAACCTGAAAGTTTTAAGTGTGGAAACAGAAGATACAGAGCATAATGGTACAGGCAGCTTGTACCTAGCAAGGTGGAGCATGGAATGTGGGCAGGTGTCCTCTTTCTCCATTAGTGGCCAGACACCATTAGACTCAAGTCGATCAAGAATGACTTCACTGCCTGTTGCTTTCAAAAACTGTTTCAATGAGTCAGTTGCAACACTAAGTAGAGGGAAAAAGAGAGAGAACTGAATACATGTTTATACAGCATTCCTCTTACAATGAAAAGCACTAAAGTGCAAACCCTCGGCGAACTGCGCATGCACGATACTGCTAATTGATGGGCTGGGCTATTCATGCGTTTACTCGTGGTCTCCCGCTAGTAGCTCGTGGAGAGTCTGACACGGGCTAGTTACAGTAGTAGATAGCATGCGGGAGTTGATACACGCCATTCGTTGAGACTTCCTGAGCCCCCAAGGTACACATGAGCGAGCGGATCAGGTCGCAGTAAGCCCAGTGCTATGCATATTGGCTTTTTCGCTTGTTTTCACGGCATATCTCTCGAACACAGTCGTTTCAGGAAAATCACCCTTTTATTCTTCAGGCTCGCGTAGTTCTGATGCCACTGGTATCGCTAATAGGACGCCTCATAGCCTGTGGTGCCAGAATAAGCGTCGACACACAGACACACACACAGACAAACCAACTACTGTAACCCTCGCTGCGCATGTCTGTTGACCAGTATGCCATGTGGATGATGTAATACACATGTGCACATAATTTTATATGCATATGAATTAGCGAGCTAGACATTCTAATCAAAATACATTGACCGAGGGGTATTCGTTGCTGTGTACAATCATGCATTCCTATATACTAACATAGCCGTTACCATTAACACTGTGTCCTCATCATAAGGAATTTCCTCGGACTATTTGTTTTTAATTCTCAGTGCACATGTGCAGCGAACATTAGGGTACTTGGTTTGTGAGTGCGTCATTCTGTCTGTCTGTCTGTCTGACTCTCCTCATTTTATGCCACCATGTGCAAGAAATCAGCAAAGAGTGATAGTAACGGCTTCATAGCTACACTAGCTTGATTATGGCGCGAAAGCCAAGTCAAAAAGCCAATATGCAAATCACCACCATGAGACTCAACACTTGCTCTCCATTGTAAGTTACGATGCCTCCATGCCGCGAACAGGCAGAATGCTGTTGAGGTAAGCCGGTGCCTAAAACGCTATCTAACCCATGTCAAACTCCATGAGAGTTACCTAGAGACCATGACACAACAGCATACAAGCCCAGTACTGACCTGTACACGCGTCTAGTGAATTTTTTAAGTTATGAGTTTTGAATCCGAAGAAGAAAAAGAAGAAAAAACCTATCATAGCCCTACAGTATATATAAAATAATAATGCTACATGCGTAGGTACGTACCATACCCATTCCTGTACGTAGTGATATACCTAACACACAGTGGCTTCTTGGTGCTCTCAATCACAACACTGACTCCTATTCTGAGTATGAGAGAAGAGAATATCTGAGCAAACATCTCCTTTGCTACCTCTTGGGCCTCTTCAGTCTCGCACAGTACACCAACTGCATTACTTGCCTGAAAACAAGAATTTTACTTTCTTTTATGTACTAGAGACATTTGGTCCCACATAACCCTCGGTGTGCATGAACAGCAAGAGCTACAGTACTTAGTCTCTGTGTTTTTCAGCAGCTATTCTGGCACTACACGCAATGTGGTTGCCTATGAGCAATACTAACAGCTTCAGAACTACGCAAGCCTGAAAAATAAAATGGTGAATTTCCTAAAACGACTGTGTTTTAAGAAATATGTATGTTGTGAAAACAAAAAAAAGGCAATATGCTTACTTTTACTCAATCCACTTGCTCTGTGTAACCTAGGAGCCACAAGAAGCTATAACAGACGGACACTATACTACTGTATGCAAGGTGAATTGCATTTTCAAAAGGAACTTAGGATCATATACAAACAGTGTAAGCTCTTAGCTTGTGTGGTATCTTACTGCTTTTGCATACCGTAGAGCCTTAATGTCAGCGTCCATTAATCTTTCAAAGGTGACATTAAATTTAGCTAGAGCTGGTATAAAACGAGCATACCAGTTGATGTTATTACTGCACAATTACATGTGTACTAGTGTACTTACAAAGCTGAAGACGTGCAAACACTTCTTTTTACACTAAAAATTCCTGTCCCTATGCTTGCACAAACGGCATTGAAAAAGCAGTGCATATGCATTGGCACCACAAATAATATATTAGCGGATTCTAGTGAAATGCCAATTTCGCTAACATTGTAATTTACATCATCGAAGAAGCACATTTTCAGACCATACATGGGCATGGCTGTGGACCCTCCACCATGTTTTAGCTGCCGGCAAGGTGGAACGGATGAATGCCCTGAGCTGTTCTTTAGATGATTACTGCAGACGTTCTTCTTGACGAAAGGTAGACAGATGACAGGGTTGTTAAGCGAGCTACTTTCAAAACTGCCACGGTATCAAAAGCTATAGCCGTCGCATCCCTGTCTCTGCCGCGCCCAGTGATGCGGCAAGCAGAGAATGTTTACTCGGTCTCACTGTGCCTTTAATGTTCCAGAATGATGATAGGCCTTAAAATAAGCCTAAAAATGAGCAGTTACATCCCCAGCAATGCTTTGCGCATTCAGAAAGAATTCTGTACATCGGTCAGCTAGTTTTAACAGAGGAAGTCACAAAGAAGCTTACCGCTTTAAATAATATTATTATTTCATGGGACATCCTGTGTATTTGACAGGATATCCCGTGAAATATCACATAATTATGGCAAATATGTGTAAGCATGGAGAAAGGTTTGGTTTATGGGGGCTTGTTATAATATGATGCAAATTAGTTTGCTTGACAATCACACGGGAGAATTCTACGACTATGTGCCATTCAAAAACTAGATCAAAAGGAAAAGGCAAAAGGCAAAAAATACAATTACAGCACTCACAGCTTTAGGGAGAGTAGTCTCTATGATAGTGACTTTTCCCTGCCCCTTGGCCTTCTCCTGGTATGGCAAACTGAGGGATAGGACCTCAAGGAGATTTAAGAACACACTCTTGAGTAAGTGGGCCTCTCCAGCTAAAATGTGCCACATTGCTACTAGGTTCCTGCAGGTAAAATAGGTGAATTATATTAAGCTACAGGAGAATTTAGCAACAGCCATAGTAGCATAGCTACAGCTAAAGGTTTTTCGTTACAGCCTTTAACTTAATGCCTGTCTATTACTGTTGCCCTCGGCTAGCCGAAGCTGTTGTAGTTACAACATGAATCATAGTTGTTAGGGAAAGCATGTCAGAGGTAATTTGCGCCCAGAGCTGCCAAAATGATGAGTTTATAAAAGAAAAGGACAGACAGTGTGAACTCCCCAAGGAATGTGCTAAGGTTGGTGCATCATAGCCAAAGCTCCTGAGCTTAGCACGCATGCTTCCCACAAGGAGAAAGCCACATAACTGATTGTGAAATTTTACGTGCAGAAGGCATACGATAGTGTGTGGCGTAACGGCCTGTGGTTTAAGTTGTGGGAATTTGGGGTAAGAGGGAAGATGTGGAGGGTCATAAAGAAGATGTACGAGTATTCAAAGAGTGCTGTATTGTTGGATGGGGAACGGTCAGAGGCATTTGATGTGGAACAGGGGGTAGCTCAGGGATGTAGCTTATCTCCAATTTTGTTTTCCGTATTTATCAATGGGTTGTTGAGGGAGGTGGAGGAAGCTGAGATTGGAATCGATTTAAGTAGTGGTGGGAGACTTGGAGGACTTTTGTTTGCAGATGACTTCGTTGGTGTTAGTGAGTCTAAGGATCAGTTACAGACGCTTATAGATGTGGTGCAAGCCTACTGTCGAAAATGGAGGCTAAAGGCTAATGTGAGTAAGAGTGCAGTGATGGTGTTCGCTAGGGAGTTAGGGGATGGTGCTTGGAAATGGGGGGAGTATGTTTTGCCTAGAGTATCTAAATACACATTCTTGGGTGTTGATTTTACTAGTACTGGTGCATGGGATGTGCATATCAAGAATGTGTTAGACAATGGTAGAAGGAAGGTTAATCAGTTGCATAGTGTAATTAGTAATAGGGATATTAATTTGAGTGCTCGCAGGTTGTTGTTGCTGGCGGTGGTTAGGCCAACTTTAGAGTATGGGGGTGAGGTGTGGGAAGCCAATAAGACTCAGGCAGCTGCATTATAGTCCGTTATGCTGGGAGGAGCTAAGCGCATTCTTGGGTGTTCGTCTAAGACATGTAATGAAGCCGTTAGGGGGGATATGGGGCTTGATACGTTACAAGGGCGTAGGGGTAAGAATAAGTTGAAGTGGTGGTATAAGTTAGCGGCATTGCCAGGCAATAGGTATCCGAAGAAGCTTTTTAATCAGGAATGGAATTTTAAGCCACGGAGAGGCAGGCAGAGGAAGGGTTGGAGTAAGGTCATTGATGATCTCTTTTCGTCATTAGGTCTTGACAAGGCAGAGTGGTTGCATGATATTCAAAATGGGGATTGCTCCTTGAAGGGCTTTCTGTCTATAATAGGGGACAGTATTAATGAGAGGGAGATTAGAAAGTTTGAAGAGGGGCTAAATAGCAAAGTAAAGCTGTTATTGTATAAGACATTTAACAAGGTGGTAGAGTTAAAAAAGTACTTGCATGGGAAAAGTGATGCTGGGTCTAGATTAATGTTTAAGTTCAGGTCAGGCACGCATGGGCTAAATGAGGAACTGGGCAGGCATAGGGGGAGGGAGGGGGTGAAAGAGTGCCTGTTGTGTGATGATGAGTGTGAAAGTGTGAGTCATGTGTTGTGGGAGTGTCCAGCATATAGTAGTCTTAGGAGCAATTTCTTAGTTGCCCTTCAGGGGAAGCTTGGGGATGATGGGTTTGAGCATTTCCAGTCGCTTGATAGTTTCAGGAAAGCATCCTTTATATTGGGTAGTGAACTGTGGGAGGATAATTTTGGTTCTTGCTTGGCCTTGTTAAAGATTTTATTTTGGATGTTTGGGAGCTAAGAAAGGTTAGGTTATACGGCGATAGTCCCTGTGTACAACAAACCCAGTCTCAGATTGCGTCTGGGGAGCTGCAGGGTGTCACTGGTGGAAGGGGTGAGTTTAGGTGTCTGGGAGGTGAGACAGACACCTCATGTTCACATGGTGTATGTTCGTGTGTTAACGGTTCCGCCCATTGCTCTGGGTGCGTGGTCTATGGCCCTAGTGCTATGGCAGCCACCTGAGTATTATTATTATTATACTTACCTCGATCAGGATTATAGCATGTACCTATGTATAGACATGCGCAAATCTAATTGATGGGCGGGGCAGCACTAACACAGTCCTGTGCTAGCGTCTTGCATGGGCTAGCTAGACAAGTAGATCACATTATAGGCTTCGCGAGACTCAATAATCGCCCTCAGTTACAACTTCTGATGCCTCCACACTGTGCAAACAGGTGGAATGCGGTCAAGGTAAGCGAGTGGTAATTTGCATATTTTGCCTGTTGACTTCGTCTATATTCCTGCGCACCAGAATACATGCACGGTACACTCACCCAAAGAGTTTAGCACTTTAATTCACATAATTTTAGTGACTTTTACACCAAAGCTCTGGCCTATAACTAAACCCAACTTTTGCCTAACTTTCATGGCTTCAATCGATGTAGAGACAGGCAGTGTTACAGGTTTTCATAATGGTATGTAGCTACATAAAAGATGGTATTAGCCTAGAACAGATGGTAGCAGTCATCACACAGAAAGACCACTCACTTGTCCCAGGGAAGTGGTTTGTCGAGGAGGTGAGAAATTGTAGGCACCAGGTACTGGCTGCAGATTGTACGCATACAGCGCAAAGTACCTGTGCGTGTCTGTGGAGTATATATACCATCCAGTTTCTCGTGGAGACCATCCACCAGATCTGGAATCTAAGAAGGACATGTGCATACGTATATCAATATCAGACAATGAGTACGTAGTTTTCTTCCTCAGTGAGTGTGAGTATCAGCTAGATGCACTTAAAAGACAAGGATTGAGAGCTTGAGCAAACTGTGCCTTAAAAGACAATGTTATAAGACAATGTTATAATGCAATGTAGTGTTCGCCTCATCGGTATCTGTGCTTCCAGAATTGATGAAAGTCCAGTGAATAGATGTAGCAAAGAATAATGTCACGAGGTATTAGCACATTTGGGTTGTGACATGTATCCCAGATGTGACTCTATAACCTCGTTTAATATTCCTAGGTCCTATAGGTTGTATCATAATTTGGCATCATGTGCTCGGTGCGCTAGAGGCCAATGCCTAAAGTGCAAACTAAGTTGGAAGGTTTAGTGAACCAGTTGCAGCTTGCTAACTCCAGCTACTCTGATTCGTAATGTTTCAGTGGTGATGATATATTCAATAAGGTAACTACTAGCCTCAAATAGAACGGGTGATGTTTATCCCTGAAACAACGCATGCACTTGTAGCACTAAAGCGTTTGGTATCGCTCTTAGGCCGCCTCATATCCTGTAGTGCGAGAATAGTCGTGGACACACACACACAGACCAACTACTGTAACCCTCACTGCGCATGTGCGCCGAGGGTTAATAAGGCAGTCCAGCATTGCTGGATATGCTTTTAGTGCGACTTTAAGCGACGAAACCGATATCGCCCGCGACTGCATGGAACGACACAGCCCATTAATAATATTAGCAGGGCTTTTGTGTCCATACGAACATAGTGTGTGGTATACATTTTGCTAATACAGAGCCTCTTGCACGATGGTTGGCACTTTAAAGACAGTTTATTGTGACTTGCGTGGGCGGATCAAAGCTGCCGCGCGTACTCTTATTTCCCGTATTGTATATAGCACGCGAGCCACGCGTTCAATATGACCAATATTGAACGTTCAATAAAAGAATTATTGAACTAGCATCAGCATCGTGCCCATAGTGTAGACACAAACTGTTCTGTAGAGGCTGTAGAGGCGAGGCATGACTGTTCTGTAGAGTCTGTAGAGGCAAAGGATGGCTGAGGCGACCACACCCCTTCATTCAGCTCCCAGTCAAGCGAGACCGCGGCCGCGGCACACCGACCGGTCAAACGGCCGAGCGACCTATGAAACGAGTTTCTCTGAGGGAGAAAGAACCACCATCACGACCTTGTTCGATTACGGTAGCCTCGAGAACAGAGAACTCGCTCGAGAAGCCAGCGAGTGCGCACGTGCGCATAGGTAGTAGGCTACGCAGTCGTATTTCTCTCGCTAGAGGTCGATGACTGCTACAAAGTCACAATAAAACACATAATGTGCGTCCTATCGTTCTATACATGACTTATGGGAACTCGGGTTGTGGTCTCGAGACCCATACAGCACTCGGCTGCGCCTCGTGCTGTATGAGTCTCTCGACCACACCCCTCGTTCCCATAAATCACGTATAGAACTCTAAACGCACATTATCTCTTACGTATAATTTACACTAGCTCATGGCACAATGCAGTAGAAACTCCACAGTCAGAACACTAGATTGTATATTCAACATTGCAAACAAAATTGCCAACATTTACAAAGAGCAGCTATTAACTGAGAAATGCGAAAAGGGAGTGGTCCTTAAGCTGGTGTGCTGCATATCCTACGTAGATCTGCACACTCAACAGAGGCATCAAATGTAACCCGGTGAAGTTCAATATTACACGCTACAAATCGGGTGTTAGAGAAATGTGAGAGCATTTGTTTGTCATATTTTTCCAGCCTACAACTTCTATTAGTTAAGAAATAAATGCCGGGGAATTAGAGTTTAGACAGAGCTGTGGTTTCACTTACTAAAGCCTTAGCACCAAAACACAGTGAAAATGCAGAGATAACAACACCAATGCAATAATACATACCTGTTCACCAAGAGAGCCTCCCCTGAGTTTTACTATGTTGTTGAGTACAACACAGGCTGCGCTAGAGCTGTGGGCCTGGGAATCCACCAGACCTTCTAATAAGAAGGTCATCAGAGACCAGAGGTTTCTATCAGCTACTTTCTTGCAGAACACCTGGAGATCCAATCAATTGCAGTAATTCTAACACAGACCTAACAGCTGTCAATGCCAACCTTGGAAAGGTCATTCACTAATGAATAAAGTATATTAGCCTCATCACTCTCAGCTCTATCCCTTAGTAGTGTCACTGCATCAACCATTTGGTCAGGAACACCTGTGTAGTAAAACTTTAAAGTCATAGAAAACATAGTAACAATTGTGGAAGGAAAAATTGCTTTTCCTTCCTCCTAAGTTTTTGATTGCACAGTCTAACTTGCAGGTGCCTTATAATCTTCGGCGTGCATGCACAGCAAGGGTTACGGTGTTTGGTTTGTGAGTATGTTCATCCATCAGTCCATCAGTCCATCTGTTACCACATTTTCTGCCACCACAGAGAATGGCATCAAAAACATGCAAAAAACCCAATATCATAATTTAGTGGCTTATCAGGCTCAAAAAATGACTCCTGCAATACATTAAATGTTAGTAGCTAGTCAGAGTCAGACTCTCAGCCAACTAGCTAGAAACCACGAGCAAGCATGGCCCAGCACATTAATTAGTGGTACTGACCAACGCACGTGTACACTCAAACACCTGTTGGCCAGTGCAGCGAGGGTTTACACTATAATGCTCTTAATTTTGTGAATAGGAGTGCTGAAAAGACTTTCAGTTCATGATTAATCTATTACTCCTGTCTCTAGAGACTTACTGAGATGATCGCTGACCAGCGTAAAATTATCACTAAGAACGGCAGTACTTAGGGATGATAAGGGTCTTCCAGCATTATTGAAAATTTCAGTTTCTATTTTGATCAGATCCCAATTTAACTATACTTCCTCATACTCGCTCTCTAAAATGTGCTAACCAGGGTCGCAGGTTGATACACGTAGAATCATCTGGACACAGTCAATGGCAGCTAGTCTCGTGTCAAGGGATGGGTCAGTGCAGCGAGGAACCATTCTGCCCAACAGCTCTCCCTGTATCTCCAGCTCCCGAGAGGTCTGATAAGTGAAGACATATTAAACACATGTAAACTAACAGCACAAAGGAAGAGAGAAGGAGACACAAAGTAAGACGACATATAGGGCTTTAATAGCACTTCAAACAGGCTTACTCGTGCAGGACTAGCAACACCATGCATGAGCTGGTGCACGATGGTGGCAACATAATTATTACGTAGGTAGAGATACTCAGCATACGTACAAGGTATCAGGGGCTGGAATAGTGTCTGAATATATTCGGAACTAAGAAAAAAAAAGCTGACGAAAGGTCAAGGTAAAAATAATATCCTAACAAGTGGCGAAAAAACTTACACAATATAATATGCATGTAAAAACTATTTTAAAAGCACGAGTAGAAAAAGAGAGAAGCTGGAAACTGGAAGCGCCAAAAACGGGAAGCTGGAAACTTGCTAGAAACAGGAAGCGCGAAGTTGGTTAGTCTACTACTGGGCCAGCATTAAAAGTTACATTTTGTGTGTGCTTCCAGTAGATCCTTTGGTCACCTGTTTTCTATGCAATCGCTAAGGTTTTTCTTTGCTTGTGCTCCTGATCCCAGTTTTCAAGCTTGCTGCTCCTACATTCCAGAGCCGCACAGACAGTGGTGCAGGTGTGGCTCAGTAGTAGGCATGTCTCAATAACTTGGTAACGAGGTAGAAAGGCAAGGCAAGGCAAACAAGTCAACTACACCCAGGACAGCATAGTTGTGATGCCTTAACAGCAAGAAATACAAATATATTATACTCCACCCCAAAATTTCCGATCCAACAGCTTCAATCTTCACCTTTCCCTAATTTCGCTCACGAAAAGGTTTGGTTTGTGTAGTCACTTCCTTTGCTCTTGTTGCATGGTGTGTTTCATTTGTTGCCGGATTTAGCTGAGCATATTGCTTGGCAGCAGAAAAAGGATGCCAGTTAGAAAAGCTCTCCCAACCACTGAAAAAGACAAAGCCTATTATGGATAGGTTCTTTACGTTAGAGTAAAATATTAGGTCAATGTTTGTGATATGTATCTTGCAAGAAGAGAGGAGATTACATAAGCCTTCTTTGGACGGCCAAGCTGATTTTGATACAGTAGTTGCAAAGGGTGCAAGTCTACTACAGCTGCCAGAAGAGAAATGTTGCTTTGTTCACATGAATCGTTTAAGATTGTTGATAAAGACATTGAACATAACTATGGGAGATATCCATGGACCATTGGCAAACACCTGGCCACAACTTACTCCAAGAATTCTACATATTATATATAAACTAGGAATATTATGTGAAGAGCAGTTTTTCCAAGGTATGAAGGTCAATCAAGTGTCTTGTGTCTTGACCCACAACACATGCATACATACCTGCAGAGCGATGATGATACATAGCTGTATCATAATGGTTAAAAAGATTAAGTAGTATTCTGAAAGGTTTTTGAAGGGTATATTCGGACCTCTTTGTTGCAGTCATGTATGCTCCATATATTGGTGCGGTGGGGTTTGAACTATCAAGGATACACTCAAGGAGTCCAGGATTGCACCACTTAATGAGCAAACAGAATATCTAGCAGTGAATTCACAATTTACCAGCTCAACAATGCTGAGTTGCTGAAAAGGGCTTGTGTCAAAGTTTCCCTTCTGCTTAGCTAGCTACATGTACACACCAAATGCATATGTGGTGACCTGTAGGTAGGTTGGCTCACTTGAAAATTACAGATAAGACAATTCAGCTTTGCGTTTTTTCCTTTTAGAGTTAGCAATAAAGCCCGTCTGATGAGCATGATAAATCATTCGTTTGGTTCTGGAGGAAGCTCTGGACAATACTCAATTATTTGATTTTTGCAGCATCTTCAACAATCCAATGAAAAGCCACTTCCACTCAACAGAGCTGATTAGTCACTGGGAGACAACCAGATGGGACCAGGGTTCTAAATGCGAATACTTTCATCTTTTCAGCGGGTATTCTTCTCGCCAACCATGATAATATGATATATGGTGTTCCTTGACAAAAACATCACATCCATAAGCGACAAAATTGTGTCTGCAGACGTTTGTCCCCACATTACTCTCTCACTTTCAGTTGAGCCTCTGGATGATCTTGTAAATTAAACGGACACGATTGAAAAGCACAACTTTATTTCCAGCATATTAGTTAACCCTGGTTATGCTTTGCACTTGTTTTGGATCTATAATGGTGGGTGCCCGATTACAGTCACTTTGGGAAAAGCAGAAACGGGGAAATCCACAGCCATACAGGCCAGATGACACTCTTTGGTGGAGATGAAGTTTGCTGGTATGTGAAGGGGACAAATGCTGCATTTCTAGAGTGATCATATCGCTCAACCCTCCCGTTCGCAATCAAGGAGGCCAGCAAGGGGAAAAACCCCACGGCAAACAAACTTGATCTGACACAATTTATCACTCATTTATACAATGGAGTACGCTTTGCTAACATAAGGATCGGGTCCATTAAGCCCAGGTCTATTCCTGTACTTGCATTAAACTTTGACATAGATAACATGGAACGGTATGTGTGGAGTATTGAACTATACGTAGGTTCAGAGAGAAACTGTGTGGGCGCTGTGTCCTAGCTGTTGTTAATGCTCAAACTGAACCCGAAACTTGAATGTGTTAATAGGGTCAGCACCTGGGTGGTGCTAACCTGCCCGAAACTGGGCCTACGACTGCCGACAATGGTTCAATAGAGATGGACTACTGTTCCACAGATCTCTCATCTGGCTCTACAACACTAATAAAGAGTGATCAATCCTCTAGTTTTAAGACAGTGTTACATTATACAAACAGTTTGACACCTCATTTTAAGTTACTAATTGCCACAAAGATTCAGCAGGGAGTTGCAGAGGCTTTCTGAAAGTGATTTTCAACTGGATATTCCAATGGCAAGCAAAGTGGGACAAGTGGTTCAATATACTACTTAAAAGTAAGGGAAATCAACATACCGCATTGTTGATATAAACAAACGACATGAGAAAGCACTTGATTCGATCAACAGCATTGTCATTGAATGTGTTAGCAACGGTTCATGGGGATGTGTCCAAACGATTGGAGTGACCGAGAAACAGACACACAATTTTCGGTGCTCAATAAAGTGCAGACATTGAGTTGTTCACCTGCTTGTATGTACATCTAATGCGCTTCACAGCACAGAATGCAAGCGCATTCACATGGTGTGCCAAATCGCTGATGGCCATGATGATGCTCCAGAACAGTGATCAAACACTGATGTCGCATACAGACTCGGATGCTCATGGCACTAGGGTTGTGAATCCTGGTCAGTGTCATTCTGGTTCAAGGACACTCCCAGAATACATCTTTCAAGGAACTTCTCCCAATCGTGGCAGGTGGGACAAGGCTTGTGCAGACGCTAGATGGAGTGCAACTAAGCAGTGGTGGCTTGTCTGCGGTCACAGCGAACACAAGAGGATAATGCACCTTCTCCACAATCTCTTATTAACCCTCGGCGCGCATGCGCAGCGAGGGTTACGGTAGTTGTCCCGTAAGTGTGTCTGTCAGTCCGTCAGTCTGTCAGTCTGTCAGTCTGTCTGTTACCATGTTTTCTGCCACCGCGCGTACGAAATCAGGTATATAGCGATATGATCGGGTTCAGTGCTACACTGGGTTGAATTTTAAAAAGGCGATTTTCGTAAAACTACTGTGTTTTAATTATGGCGTGAAAACCAGGTGAACAAGCCAATATGTAAATTAGCACAGGCTTACCTCGACCGCGTCCGTTTGCTCTGTGTGTCTTGAAGGCACAACAAGTCACAACGAAGGGCATGTATCGACTCCCGCATGCTATTTACTACTGTAGCTAGCCCGTGCCAGACTCTCCGCGAGCTACTAGAGGGATACCGCGAGTAAAGGCATAAAAAGCCCTGCCCATCAATTAGTGGTACCGCACATGCGCAGTTCGCCGAGGGTTTGCACTTTAGTGCTTTTCATTTACCAAGGCTTGCTGGTGGCTTGTAGTCAAAGCACTATACATTAACACTCCAACCACCTACCACATGGTGTTTCACATTACTGCGTGCTCTCTTTCATGCCCAAGCTGCCTGGTCAACCCCCTCTTAAAAACCTGAAGTTGGGGCGATGTCACAGTGGATGACATTTCTTATGCAGTAAGGTTGCACTATCTCTGCCCCAAATGCGACCACTTCGGCACCAAAGGTTTGAACATCACAGTTAGTCAGTCTAATACACCCAGTAATGGCAGTAGTGGCCTACATTCACCTGCAGACAGATTGTCAGGGTGCATTCTTCATCAACCGATGTGCTAACTTGGTGACCAATATCTAGTTAAATCAGCAAATCAGGAATGTACAAGTTTCCACTCAGGACAGTTATGCCAGCTATAGTTTGTGGATCGGGGCAGCAACATCGCCTGCCCTTGCCAGGGTGCAGGACCCCACACACACACCTTACCAACTATGCTGTCCTAGGTGTAGTTGACTTGTTTGCCTTGCCTTGCCTTTCTACCTCGTTACCAAGTTGTTGAGACATGCCTTGATGTATGTAATACCACCATTGAACTGGCAGTTCCCTTGAACTTTCACAGTGGTCAGCTCAGTACCATAATTTCCAAAGCACAAGTTGAACTTTTAAATTACGGCATATACCATGGGACATACTATAGTAGTGCCAAAGTGGGCATTGCCAGATATTTTGTGTAGTGTAACAACTATGAACCCGTGTGGGTACACGTAGTGCTGGTGATGACTAGTAACACAAAATTGCACATGTACAGCAATAGAAGTAGTCGAATTCGCTGAAACAGCACTACACATGCATATTCGATATCGGCGGTCAGTAAACGTGTGCACTTCCACAAAAGCCAGACGTGAATCGCTAGTGCAACTTACACTCAGTGCTAATTACACTGCACTAAATAGCAAAAGTATAAAGTAAGAAAGCAAGGACTTACTTCATCAGTGTCAGAATGCAGCTGATAGGCTTTCATGAGTTCTAGGAAACACAGCACACCTCTGTTTCTCTCCTGGTCGTCAGAAGACTGTATCCATGGAGACAAGTGCTATAGGCAGGAATATCACAGGCATTAAATATCGCATACTGTTCAAAATCCTTGTTGTGTTTTACACACACTCAGTAGCATTGTATATTCCATCCGAGCAGGTGCTTACTAAACCAATGTAAAGTAATTGTGATATATACCTTGAAGATACTGTACAGATTGCCAGATGAGAACTGTTTGCTGAGAACTACAATGAGCAGGGAGGTGACAGAAGACAGAGCTCCCTCCCGCAGAAGGGTAGACTCCTCAACTGTCTGTAAACAAAAAACACGTAATCTGAGATTCAATACACCCGGAATATATGTATTATGTTAGAACTTTGCTAATTTAATACTATGCGGCGCGCAAAGTGTTTTAAGCACCCTGTATATTTGGATGCATTCCTACACTTTGAGTATGGTTTCATTCAGGTACGGTTTCTTCATTTGGGTATGGTTTTTGTTTATTCAGGTATGGTCTTTATATTTGTTGTTTTCGTGCATTCAGGTATGACCATACCTTAATAACAATACCCAAATGAAGAGACTATACCTGAATGAAACCATACTCAAGTGTAGGAATGCATCCAAGTAGCCTGAGGGGTACTTAAATTAAAATAATTAGCAAAAAGTCATATTTTAACAAAATGGCTGCCAAAACTAAGCACTTTTGCAGAGACGATTTTGCCACCATACCTTAAGGTGAGTTAAAATTGACTTGGTACGTCAATAGTAAATTTCTTGGAATTTAACTAGAAAAAATGGCTGCAAAACCAGAGACCTCTGAAACCACTGTTTTCGCACATTTTCCACAAACTAAAGGTGGGCGGTAACATTTTTCTGGTCTCAAAGATAATCCTATAGACTAGGATTGTGCATCGAGGCAAGGCAAGGCAAACAAGTCAACTACACGCAGGACAGCTCTTTCTTTTCAAAGAAAAGATGAAGAGTTGCCCTGGGTGAGCGCTCTACCAACTGAGCTACCAGGGCAACTCAGCTGGTAGAGGTTCGAATCTACAACACAAAGGCACACCTCAAACCAGTGTGCTAGGGCACAGTATACTCTCACTCAGTATGTACTAGGAGCATGCATAACCAGTTTCTAGTCTTAACTATCAGTCTTGTGGAAATGATCAGCCTAACTGATTTTCTGAAGGACCTTTACTTTGAGGCCATTTTTGTCACGTCAATGATTAATCTGATGATGCTTTCCACACATAATAGAGCATCACTAATTCACTCACAACGCTATCCTTCTTTGAGGGAGAGGTCATGACTAGAAGTGGGAACACTGAGTCAGTAGCTGCTTTGATAACATCAAACTGTTCTGCTTCACTCAGCTGTGGGTCCAGTTTCCTGACATATATACATTAAGGGTACAATATTTTGAACTACATACGTACACAGAGTTGGGGTCCAGCTAAAAACACATGCACACAATGGATACACAAGTGTGGTGAGAGCATTTATAGCAAGCGCTCTGGTCTCTGTGGTGATTGTTACTGCAACTGGCTCTCCATGAATGTAGTCCTGTTAAAAGGGGCATTTGGTGAGTTTAAACTTCCATACTAGTACTAGGAATTACAGACCAACAGATGGTTGAGAAGGTCTCCTCGTTTAGAGAAGATAAAGTCGTCTTTCTTGAGGTGATCTGGGTGCAAAGCTCGGCCGATCAGATCAATCGTTCGAATGAGATTCTGTTTTACAACAGTGTCCTGGGAGAATGAGATACAGTAGGATAATGACGGGGCAATTAATTGCAAGTGAGCACAATTCAATAATGATTGAATGCAACTAAGAAACCACATTTAATTACACTACTAGAGAGACCACGCTATTACAACACTGGCATGCAGTAATAATATAGACAAACCCTGATTTTATTGAAGTGTGGGTTGATGCTTCTGAGAATGTTAACTTCAATTCTCGATGTGATCAGGCCGAAAGCAGTGAGGAGTAGAAATGAGTGAAGAAGGTGAGTGGAGGAAGAAACAAGAGGTGTAAAAACAGTAGAGAGAAAGGTTAAATGCAAACGAATGGGTTTAACACAAGGTTTACTTGGGAGGTGAGTGAAATGTCACATAGCCGTAACAGAGAAGTACTGTTGCCTTGATCCTCTCGACGTCTGCCTCTGATTTGTCCTGCACATGATCATCATGGAATCAAGACCCTACTCTTAGACACTGGTAGTGAGTGATAGAGAGCCAACCTAGTCGTGGCAATGACAACGGCACCAGGCAATAGCCCTATCGCCCTATCACACATACCATAATGTTTTATGCCCTTATTTCTAAGTAGGTAGAACGGAATATTGTGTAATGACTATGTGGTCCAAAGATGATGATGGCAGTGCTGTAGTTGGCTTGCTCCCACTCACAAAGAACGCACACGCATTTATAAATTTGGAAAGTAACTTTCGTGCTGCCTGTGACTAACTGCAAGGATTTGAAAATGAGTAGTCACACACAGACACAACAAAAGATAGATACAAATCTGCTGTGTCCTGTGACCATGTTGATTGATGAAGTCAAGCATGAACAAGAAGTATCTGTATTCATGCCCACAGAGTAGTTGTCTCATTACTGTACATTTAAGCTTCAGCTTCTAGTGTGCAATGCAGGAAGTCAATTTTGCAACATTCCAGCCAGTAAGTTACCTTTGAGAATCCGAAGAAGCCCTTTGATTTTCGAACCATTTCTTCTTTTATGACCTGCTCTAGTTTGCTCACAGCAAGGTCCAAGTGAGATGCTGCACAGAAGCCTACACCAATAGCACAACCCTACAGAAATATAAACTACTGCTAATTCTCTCCTATGCAAAGTCTCACATTGTATAAAAGTCTGTAGAGCACAAACCTCTCTCTCTGCTTGATTGGAGTGCTTAATAGTGGAAAACATGGAGTCCAGCATCTTCTGTATGAATTGCCGTTGAGACACCTTCCTCATTATGACTCCCAGACACTTGAAGAGGAAACCCTGTATGCAACAAAGATGAGGAAACTGGCAGACAGTAACCCATGTATCCATGTATCATGAGCACTGAGGAGCTGCGGGTTGTATATACAGTAGGGGTCAAAAAAACGTTTCCAATTTCGTTCTGTTCCGTTTCATTGAGCTTCCGTTCCCTTCTTAAACGCCGTTCATTTACAATTGGAATTCGTTCCGTTCCGTTCTGTTTAGAATCGTTGCCGTGCATGCGTCCGCATGGGGGCCGTCATTCGCGAGATGCGAAGGCCTCACTGCAAATATATTTCTTCTAGCACCTACGTGGATACTGCATTCTCGTTGTTTCGCGTTTGCTCTAAGAAAAAACCTTGTTTCGCTCCCCTGCTATTGAGTCTCTACCGCGTTTGCAGAGGGTGTGTCATGCAGAATTCACAACTGAACAGAAACTGAACGGAAACGGAATGGAATGATAGTGAACGGAATGGAACGATAGTGAACGGCAAACGGAAAGAAACGGAACGAAACGTTTTTTGACTCCTACTGTAAGTACGTCACTCTGTATCTCACACTTCCCCCTAGTGTAGCAAAGGTATTTGTTACTAGGGGACAATTAGCTATTATGATGGCACGTGTACAGATGTGCCCTTGATTATCCCACGAATCATATACATATTACACAAATGTACGGCCCTCCACCTCCGCCTGGGTCACGGAAGTTGAGGTTGAACACAACCCTGGCCCTTTGGTCTCGGGCTACCACCAAAAACACTTCTTTCGTTACTGTTTCGTAAATATACACCCATCAACCATGGTTTATATGTTACAGAACGAATGCAACACATTTCTGGTGAGCATAAACTGCTGTATGTGATATTGGCGTATGCCCATCATGGTCAGTCATTACAAAAAAACAGGGCAACTCATCGCTAGTAGCTCAATAAATGGTACTAAAAAAGAGAACTGATGGTAACAGGGACATTGCACAAAATACAAATGACTGAAACAGGCACTGAACACTTGGTACTTTACTCTATTGTGATAATTAACCCTCGGCGCGTATGCGCAGCGAGGGTTACTGTAGTCGTTCTGTCTGTGTGTGTGTGTGTGTGTGTGTCGACGCTTATTCTGGCACTACAGGCTACGAAGCGGCCCATTAGCGATACCAGCAGCTTCAGAATTACACGAGCCTGAAAAATAAAAGGGCGATTTTCCTGAAACAACTGCGTTCGAGAGATATGCCTTGAAGACAAGCGAAAAAGCCAATATGCATAATCGCACTGGGCTTACCGCGACCTAATCTGCTCGCTCTGTGTACCTTGGGGGCTCAAGAAGTCACAACGAATGGCATGTATCGACTCCCGCATGATATCTACTTGTGTAGCTAGCCCCTCCGCGAGCTGCTAGCGGGAGATCAGGAGTAAAAATAGCCCAGCCCATCAATTAGCAGTATCACGCATGCACAATTCGCCGAGGGTTTGCACTTTAGTGCTTTTCATTATATCTTGCCATCAGGTGACAATGTCTCACCTTCTCTTCAGGGTAGTTCATATATCTTTCCAAAACCAGTTCCTTTTCCCCCATGGCTGAGCCCACCTCAATCAGCCACTCCTCGTTCTTGACATCATCCAGTGAGCGAGACACAAACTGTTGAGTGATAATCAAAACATGGTAGTAATGTGAGCAAGACAAAAGTTGGTTCTATGTCTTTCCCTCCTGGCCTTGTATTTCTATCAACTAGAAAACCATCCACACCACTGTAGTTAGTAAATAGCAGGCATCAAAATCAACTTTATTTACAGCTATTGGGTGGGTGTGGCTAACCGGCAGGAAAAAATCAAGAACAAAAGTAAACAATGATAGAAAATGAGATTTTCAACCCCTATATACAGTGTTAATGTCTCTACTACACTGCACAGTGCAAGTGTGTGTGCTGATATGGATAATGAAGCAATATCCAAAGTAAATCTCTATTCCATTTGTGACTATAGGTCATAAAATATACCTTTAGCATAAGATCTTCCCAGTGTTTCTGATCCCAGGTTCCTTTCTCACTTTGTTCTGCAGTAAAGAATGAACATGTGGAGTCATAGCAAAAGAAGTGAGGTGATATCACTTATATAGATATGCCTTACAAGGAGTTTCATTCTTGGCAGCTACATGTCTAACATTAATGCCCCCTACCCTCTACATTTGCTTGTTGTTGCTAGCTAAATGCACCCTGTTTATCCAGCCTCACTACTCAAGTGTCTGCTCCCCAACTGTACGTTCTGCTTGTCTTAATGCAGAGCGCTCAAACAGAGGGCAGAGGTGAATGATATAGGGAGAGCTATAACTCACCAATCACCTTAAACTGGTGAGAAGGAGAGACTCTCCCAACTCTATGATGATTCTCAAACCAACAACTGACTAATACCCAGACACACTTCTGGTGCTGTGCATTGGCGCCAGGGGCTAATTATCCTCACATAGACAATGATGCTATGTTACTAAGCCATGTTTGCTCTTCATGATGGAAGAAGTGCGTGTGATCACCTTTTTTGAAAATGCAATGAGGTAGTAAGGCAAAGGCAAAGCAAACAAGTGAACTCACCCAGGACAACTCTTTTTTCCAAGGAAAAAAGAAGAGCTGCCCTGGATGGGATTTGACACTCTACTGTCTAGGCGGCCCTACTACCATTTCTGCAAAAATGACCAAAATTGCAGATATTTACCATGCGTATAATATACTTTATGTATATACAAAATGTGACACACACAATAAGCATCGAATTCTGTTATGACACATTTATCTGCAAGCGTTAATAAGCTAATTAAACTGAGTCAAAATTTGTTTTAACCTCATTAGATCACTAGGGCAACACGCCTACGCAATAGAGTATTACTATAGCATGCCTGTAATTTACTTCATGCGGCACAAACTAGAGTTTTTCAAGGAAAAGGTGTCGACAGATGGCTTGGCTCTCTGTGAAAAACGTACTGGCATCGAAAATGAAGAGTTTATAGACCAACCAATGCCATTATTGAACTGTGGAAAGCACAGAAATTGGTTCATTCATCACCATTGAGGTATGAGAGTAGCTTGGGTATCACTGCATCCCACAGGTCAACAAGGTCTTCATGAAGGTTAGGTACCAGAGCTGTCATGCAGTGGAGAATGTGCTCCCCACGTCCCTGCCCATTGTGTGGATGGCCTGCCAACACCTACAGAAGGATACGAAGCCTAGTACATGTTTCATGTATCTTTAAGGGGCTTCCGGACCAAACACATGGCCAGGTTGCTTTCACATCTTACATAGATGAACAAAATAAGCATTTTTGAAAGTGGTAAGGAATGCCCTTAAGCAGATCGCACTTGTGTTCACATGACCTGAACTACCAGAACAGAAAAGCAGAGAAACAAGGTTTTCTTAGTTTGTTGAAGCAAAAGGGTAGCTACAGTACGTACTGTGCCCACTGAGGTTCACCCAGTTTAAATGGGCTGAAGAAATACTGTACTGTCATATAAGCTTACAATCAGTCTTGCAATCAGTTCAGGTTGCCGAGGTATGTTTGCTGTAAAGTAAACACTTTGTTAGATATATACTACTGGTCTATTACTTTAAATACCCAGTTCATCGAAGTTCAGATCATAGTCATCAGCCTCCTCTTCCCTCTTCCCTTTCCCAATGTCAGCAATACATCTGGAAACAATGCCCACTGCCCCTGTGTACTGCACTGGAACTACGAACTCCAGCAAATAAGGCCACAGAACCTGCAATCAATGTCAAACACCGTATGGATTGAGCTATTGACTTTATGGTTATAGGTTAACTTCTGATGCCCAGATTATCCCTTCAACTGGTGTTGATAAACAATCTATAGTTTTCCACTCTTTACTCTACCCACTTGAAAAATGCACAAACCTCCTTCATGTGCTCGATGGTTGTAGTGACAAGTAGTAGAACATTGTCACTCATGTCACGTAGTCCTTTGATAGTAACCTCAGTAGTATTCAGCTTCTGTAGGGTCTAATGAAAGAGTTTGGTGCACAGCAAAGATTACAGTGGTAATATGTAGGTCTATGGGTATATTTCAATCTGTTAACATGTCTTCTACCACAAAATGAAAACAAGGGATACCAATGGCTCCAGGATTTACCCATAGGACATACTCAAGGCACGGGTCAAACACTGCCTTCAAATTCTACAAAAATGCAGCCAGTCTATATTACAGCGAGTTACTGTGCTTCAATGTGTAGAAATCAATAAGTGGTGCTTTTTTCACAGTATTCGTGTGCCTTGTGTGTGCAAATTATATTTGCTTCAAGGGTTAACAATAGTAGCAACATAATGTGACATCCATCCTCACCTTGTCTTCGGTGTTCAGAGAGCACTGCCTCACAACAAACTCCACCATCAGTTGACCACCCTCCAAGGACAGGTAGTCATGGTGGGCCATTGCAATTATCACTTGACACAGGATACGGCGAACCTGGCAAACAATTATGTGTACATACGTACCGTCTAGCAACATTACGAGAATAGAGGTAAGACAGAAACGAAACTATAGTTGCAGCGCTATAATTGCTAAGCCTCATGCATGAGTTACAATAGCTTCATATATATACGAAAAAAGGAGAAAAAGCCTATTTGCACATGCGAGTAATTCCCCCTGACTTTCCCAGCAGGATATGGAATTTTCCGTGCACGACAACCACACTATTAAAAAGCATTTTGTAGCTGGAAAAGCAGCTAATGACTTACAATAACTATGAATACCTGGGAGCAATAGTAATTGTACTGTAAGCTAAAGGGGGCATAATTACAATACGTATGCTCATGCACAAACAATTAGCACCAAAGGACTTACTCTTAGACTCTGCTCATTGAGCACAATCTTAAGCCCACTGACAACAAGAGATTTCTTGACTGCCATCACTTCATCTGTAGAAGAAGATGGAAACCCTGTAACATACAGTGCAAAGTTTAGTTGTGTTATTTCTCTAAATTAGCGTTTACATCACGCTCCAATTCCATTGCAATCAACTGACTCAATTAGAACAGCAATAAAATAGCCTTGCATAAGGAAAGGCAAAGCTTTTGACTCCATTAAAGTACAGCTTTGCTAACTTTGCATATTCACATGTGCATAAACATACAGGCCTTGCTTCGTTACAAAAGGCGGGTTACAAGGAATGAACAGTACCCATAAAATGGAACACTGAAAGCAGCTACCCTAATACAGCAAAATTATAACACATAGTCAAGCTGGTTAACACAGACAAACATACCACAGGAGTTGATGATGTGCTTCAGTATCTCCAGTGTGGGTACTCTGACTTTCTCCTGTGCCACCTCCAACTTCTGTAGCAGAAACCCCACAGCATGGTTCGAGTATATCAGGCCTGCAATTACCATAACAAGGCTCACCATGATACAGAATATTGTATGTTTTTCGAATATTTTCTCCCACGTACACTTAGTTTATTGCTTGCTGTAGTTCTCTAGATTCATCACTCAAACGGTCTCTCGGTACACGTGAAATCTCGGCCAACATGCTCACAGGGAAATGAAAGTGCTCTGCTCACCCAAAAAACCCTAGTCATCAAGTATGAGACTGTTTATTGATCTCAATGCCCATCTGAGAGACTCCATAGAAATAGCAATAGTACGACAAAAGTCAATGCCCTTTCTTCCCAAATTTGTCATAGAACTAACACAATGTTTCGCCCTTAGGGCCTCTTCAGGTGTACATACAACGACAAACACTGAGAACGAACAGCTAATTTAAAAAGCACTGAAGTGCAAACCCTCGGCGCACTGCGCATGTGCAATACCGCTAATAGATGGGCTGGGCTATCACTATACGTTTACACTCGTCTCCACGCAAGTGGCTCGCAGAGAGTCTGACACAGGCTAGCTATATACACTATAAGACAGCATGCGGGATTCGATATTACACCCTTTGTTGGGACTTCTTGTGCCTTCAAGATACACAGAGCAAGCGGATCAGGTCGCAGTAAGCCCAGTTCGATTATGCATATTGGCTTTTTTGCTTGTTTTCACGGCATATCTCTCGAGCGCAGTCGTTTCAGGAAAATCTCCTTTTCATTTTTCAGGTTTGCGTAGTTATGAAGCAGTTGGTGTCGCTCATTGGCCACCTCGTAGCCTGTAGTGCGAGAATAAGTGTTGACACACAGACAGTCAGACAGACAGACAAACCAAGTGAAGTACTGTAACCCTCGCTGTACATGCACACCGAGGGTTAAAAATAAGGTGTATGTGTCACTTGTCCACAGGCTCCACTCTCATTCCTCGTTTGAAGTAAAAAGGGAGGGTACACATACTTCACTACAGCTACACACAGCTAGCTTCTTATCTTCCTTGACTGATGTCTTAAAACACCGTCCACAAATACGAAAAACAGACTTAAATTTCACCTGTCACAGCAAAGCATCTAAGTATCTCATTGTGATTCTTGATAGAAGTTGAGCTGGTTGAGTCCACAGGTACACATGCCTTTAAAACACAACAATTGGATAGCATTTATTGACCCTTAAAAAGCGATAGCTGGAACTCACGTGTTGGAAGAGAATTGTTAGGAGATTGTTCAGCTGTAGCTCGAGATTAGTGCACGATTTTTTCCCCGCTGCATCTACTACCATACACAGGCACTATGTGCACAAAGGAAACAGTTTTAGCTAAAGTCACCAATATATACTGCATTTTCTTCTGAGGACTCCACTAAAGAACACAAATTTCCTTACTCAAACAAATGTGCTATATGTACCTCTAAATCGCAAAATGTATGCAGTGAGTGAGAAATGGGGAAAAAATTCAGTTCACATTTACGGCAGGCCAGACCGCAGTAGAGCTCTACATTTTCACATGGTACAAAATCAATTCAGTGAGATCAAAACAGGACTACAACAGTTGTAAATGGATCATACATACAATATGGCTGCCAATGTTTTCTTAGTAGCACTCACACACTACATTCTTATCTACTACTCCGGGTTGTATTCTCGCGATATGCGTACGTACGTACGTACGTCGTCAATTAGTCATGCTTAGGAATGTCAAATAGTCACCAAAAGGAAGTGTAACTTCCGTCACGCGTAGGAAGTCTAGCTTCCGCCGTGCGCGCAGATTCGTAGGAAGTCTGGCTTCGCGTGCAGTCAGTAGAGCGCGCGCACGAGCGGCCTGAATCGGACTGTTTACGCGAATTGGCTGACAGGCGCGAGGCAAAATATGCGTGTGCGCATTCCTAGTAAAGTCATATATACACAGCACACACCTGTGAGATGTAGTAGTGCTCTGAGTGTTTCTTGTAGAGTTGCATGATCCCAGGAAGAAGTTTGGGGAGTTGGTCGTTGAGGGCAGTGGCAGAGAGGAGGTGCACCATAACCCTAGGGCCTCTGCCACTGCCATACGCAACTGGGAGGAAAAAGTCAGACAGTTTCCTCAGATGGTTGTGGCAGCAATTAAGACTTGTATCTAATTTGCTGACCATCTTAGTAGGAATACATCGCTTCTAAGAAATAGGATGCGAACGTATGCATCAGGTCTGTCGAGGTAAGAAATGTTAATGCACATGAGTGACGTGAGTGACATTGAAATCGAGACGACAAGCCCACTTTAACTTACTGTATACTGCGTAAGTATGAACGACGAAGAGTGGAATTGGTATCACGATTCTGCAATACACTATAGGTCACAATACTTCGCCAAAGAAAAGTTGTAATGATACAGGTGTACACGGGCACTGAATAATATGGAAAGCACTGAAGTGCAAACCCTCGGCGCACTGCGCATGCACGGTACTGTTAATTGATGGGCTGGGCTATCACTAAGTACGGTAGTACTTACATATAGGGATGACAGGTTGTCCTGCATTATGCCCATACATGTGAGATTTTCATTTTCACTTTCAGTTTCAATCAGATCCAACTTTTGACACATCAGACTAATTTGTATCGTCACAAAGAGCATGTATCCAAGAAAAAGCTTAAATCGCATAATCGGTCCTTGATTTATTCAAAAAAGTCACGTTTCAATTTTCTTATTCTTGTTGTTGTTGTTGTTGTTGTTCAGTTTCAACAAGCGTATCTCAAAAACCAGGTAAGATATGGAGATCAAACTTCGCACAAAGAATCCATGACAGGTCGTGCAAGAGCACATGTAAACAACAACAAATAGCCCCATTATTATAGTGTGCTAACTGGGTAAAGCTAATACCCAGAGTGATAAAACTTTGTACACACATGCAACCCATCATTAGTATCAAAATGTAAACATTACAAGTTTGTAAACAACAACAAACAGCCTCAGGCAATAAAAACGTGTAAAATGTGTTTGTGCCTGTAACTTGCTTATGGTGGGTCCTCTAACAACGAAAATTGGTACACTGATGTTCCATGATAAGAGTTCATCGAAACATAAATTACAAGTTAGTCAACAACAATAAACAGCCTCAGGCAATAAATACTTGTAAATGATGTTTGTGCCTGTAACTTGCTTATTGTGGGTCCTCTAACAATGAAACTTGGTACACTGATTTACTATGATAAGAGTTCATTGACAAGTTTGTAAACAACAACCCAATGTATGTGCATGGCGTAAAAAAAGGAAAGGAGACAAGTAAATAAAACATTCAGCGAATAAACAAAGTGTGGAATATAGGGATGCCATAAAAAGCAAGGCGACAAGACAGGGATGACCTGGGCATGTGATGCAGTAGTACAATGGTTACATCTTCAAACTGACATTTCTTGCTCATGTAAATTTTACTCCACACATTCCTATATTGTCGCAAAGCACGAGTGATCTCTATCATATGATGTGCAGCTATGACTCGTTTCCTATGCACGTAAGACTGGTAGCAAATGCCCTCTCTGACAGGTCCTCAGTTTTGAATCGTGACTGTATTTACTTCGATGTTCGCTAAACTAACCGGTTTTACAATGCTGCTTTTCCTACAGAATTCGTTTGCCAGTCTTCACACTACACTATTCAAAACTCATGTCATGAGTAAGAGTGGCGACAATATAGGGCTTGTGTGGAGCAAAATTTACATGAGCAAGTGAAGATGTAACAATCATCCCACTGTAATACTGCATCACATGCCCTGGTCATCCCTGTCTTGTCTCCTTGCTTTTTTATGGCATCCCTATATTCCACACTTTTTTAATTCGCAGAATGTTTTATTTACTTGTATAGTATGCGTTACTCATGGTCTCCACGCTAGTAGCACGCAGAGAGTCTGACATGCGGGAGTCGATTCACGACTTCTTTAGCCTCCAAGGTACACAGAGCGAGCACAATAGGTCGCAGTAAGCCCAGTGCGATTTTGCAATTGGCCTTTTCGCTGGTTTTCATGGCATATCTCTCGAACGCACTCGTTTCAGCTTTTTATTTTTCAGGCTCACGTAGTTCTCAAGCCGTTTGTATCGCTCATACGTCGCCTCGAACCCTGTTGTGCGAGAATAGCTGCTGACAGACAGACAGACACACACACAGACCAAGTACCGTAACCCTCCCTGCGCATGCGCGCCGAGGGCTAATAAGTATGATCTTTAACTCGTGCATGTGCAGCAAGAGTTACAGTACTAGTTTCGTGTGTGTGTGTGAGTGTTTGCCTGTTACCACTATTCCGCGATACAAATGGAATCAGTACAGATAATTATTAAAATGGAGATTTTGACTGCGTTTGAGAGTGATTGTGTTAAACAAAAGCCAGTATCATGTGCATGGGCCATGGCTTACCCTATGAGTGTTTGCCTGTTTTATACACCATGGGGGCATGAAGCAACTTGGAGAAAGAGTACTCTGTCCAGCGTTGCAACTAACGCTACCCTCCAATGCTGCCAGTTTGACTAAGAAACTGCCATAAACTGCCAGTAACTGCGGGCATGCCTGCACCCCCCCTCCCCACCTCCGCTCACTGTATTTTGTGTATGTCTAGTGACAGTGTACTAGTACTGTACAAAGGTTGCTCTTTAGTGCTTTTCAGTATATTTATTAATCTTCTCACACAAGTTGCAACAGAGAAATGTGGTGAATTCCTAATCAAAATATGGTATATACCCTGAATGTAAAGTAATTGTGTAGGGCCCAGCCATAAGTAGCAATGTAAAATTCTTGCACACGTGTGCTTACTCACCCGAGACTCTTTGGACATAAGCCACACATTGAAGAGTTGGTCAAATGAGGAGAAGATGTGGCCTTCAAACTGTGAGAAGGTCACTTGACCTGAGCTAGCTCGCTGTTCATCAGCCATATAGTCCAGAATGGCTTCACTAAACCTTGCCAATGCTACAATGGATATTAATTCCACAAATGAAAAGCAAAAGTGCAAACCCTCTGCGCACTACATGCACGTGTAAGTGTATACGCATTCGCGGTACAACTAATTGAGGGGCTGGGCTATTTTTACTACTCACGGTCCCATGCCACCAGCTTGCTGAGAGTCTGTCACAGGCTAGTTACACTACTAGATGCGAGAGTCGATACACGCCCCGCGTTGCAATTTCTGGTGCCTCTAAGGTACGCAGAGCAAGCAGATCTGGTCGTCACGTCATGTACATGTAAGTCAGTGCTATTTGCTTTATCAACGCCATATCCCTTGAACGCAGTACTTTTACGAAATTCGCCAAATTTAAAATCAAGCCAGTGTAGCGCTGAATCTTTTGGTATCGCTATTTTGTTTTCTCGTGCGTGGTGGTAGAAAACGACAGACAGACAGACACACTAACGAACCAAGTACCGTAACCCCCGCTGTGCATGCGTACAGAGGGTTAATTAAGTTATGTGTACATTGAAAGCATTGGGAACTATTAATAAATGTTCCCAATTGTTTCCCGTTATTCTATTGAAAGAGAGAGTAAATTCTTATATTACTATACACAGAATTCCTGAAACGGAATACCCAATGTCTCAGAATACCAAAATCCAGTCTTGGTTCCTTTACACATGTAGTACAAAACTGTAAAGGAGCGACTTGTAATACACCTAATGCACATGCAGCATTGCCTCCATCTTGAGCACAGGTAATACTGCACTAACCGTAGGAGAACACCCACTGCATGTTCTCATGTTTGATTGCTCCTAGCTGAGTGATCATTCTGGAAAGTACAGCATTGAGTTGAGGCACAACCTCCACCACTGAAAGAGAACAAGAGTACACTATTCATTGCTACAATCGTTTCTTCACTGACAATGAGATGTTGAAGGTACGCGGTACACACTTACACACTCAAGCATTGTAAAGCACACACTTTGGTATGTAGTTATAGCTTAGTTACACACACTTGGTACACATACACAAACAAATGTAAAAGCATTATGGCAGAAAGCCTTGGCAGTATGCTGAACCTAAAGCAAGTGCACCAGTGGTAGACTCTGGTTTTAACCACAGTACCTACCAATCCATAATTATCTCTAGAGAGACTTCTGACTTTGACTGTAAGCAAAAGCCATACATCTGCAGCCATGTTTTTCACTTATAATACTAAGCACGGGTGATGTAATACTGTAGATATTGTACAAAGAATGGACATGATAGGGCAATACCATTGGCCATAGCCAGGTCTCCGGTAGTCTTGACTACAAAGTAGTGGGGAGTGGTTCCAGGTTGAAACCTCTTGAGGAGCTCCTGTAGTACAGCTGGGGCATGGCTGATGCCCAGGGTGGTCAGCAGCGCCGCCGCTGCACCCTGCCATTCAGGAACCACATCCTGAATGGACAAGATGAAGACTATGATACCAGAGCAAAAACAGTGGGAGCTGGGGAATCCTTGAAGTACATCAGCTTTCATAAAGCTTCAAAACAATTTTGTTCCTTTGTGCAAAACATACTGGATCTTTGGTCAGTTCAGTAGATGCAAGTTCAATGATATCGTTAGCCAGGGGCTCCTCAAGACTGTGGATGTGTTCCTTGCACACTTTCTCTAAGAGCTGTAGCAGGACTATACGATGGCTGCGGGGAAGCTGGGAAAATGTGCATTTGTTTTAAACTTTTCTCTTCTGGACCTAAAAACTCACTTTGCTGTGTTTCTTGAGATACGAATGACATATTCCTAAAACTTTGGCATGTTTTTTTCGGCCAACGCCCACCAGAGCTTTTACAACAGCCTGTCTTGTTGCCTCTGACTTGTCCGCAGCTGAGTCGACTAGAGCCTCTACAATGCCTGCACAGGTTATTAGACTACGGTATGACCAGTGCCACACATGCAAGTAATACTGTATGACCTACCCTCTATCTGAGAACGACCAACTTGACCCAAGGACGAAGAAATTGACGAAGAAATTGACGACGAAACAGACATTGTCTCTCCTTACCTCACAGTTCTAATTCTGTTATCTAGCTAGGCACGTGTACACGGCACCCATGCCCGGGCCCGCCCACAAAACTACGTACGCATGCGCGTGCTCACACCGTGAGGTACGTAGGTTACTCTTTTTGAGTGAGTGGTGATGGGAAGTTATAACCTATTCCATCTTCTACATCATAAACATAAACAAGGCCAAAGGCAATGTCCTTCATCCGCCAAATAAGTGTTTTTGTTCTGGCAGCACAAGCAATATCAACACCAGTAATCTGCAGTCTTCCCTCAATGCCAAACAGTCTGCAGTGGGAAGTATTATCCTCAAATTTGTAGCCACAGTGTATGGCAAAGTTCCTTTTTCCAAGGAAGAAGAGGTGCCCTGTGTGACCTAGTGGGTACTGATCATACACGCACACGCGCGTGGAGGGGCCTGGGGCGGGGTGGGCGGGCCGGCCGCGGGAAAGCAACTAAACAGGCGTGGCTGCCCTAGCCCCACCCTCTTTTTCTGCTTACGTACATACATACGTGTACGTACATGGTGTGCATGCTAGCCAGCTCATCTTGTTGTCGCAGACCACCCAGCTTGCTGGTGGCACAGAGCGGAAAAGATGGGGGCAGTAGTAGCTAAGAGTAAGGTTATTCCTGGTAAGTAGCTATCCCAACCTATTGCTAGAGACTGAATTTTCCCTCTGCCTTCCCAGTTGCTCAAATCTCCGTGCAACCAGCGCAGGGCAGCAGCGAAGACGGAGGCGCAAACTGCCACAGCCCGGCAGAAATCCGAGCGACATCTTCACTTGAGAGCAGTATAAGAACCACTCTACACTCTGGTGGAGAGAGGCACTCTAGCTCGGACGCTACTCCCCAGGCAGAGAGTCGCATGTCACGAAGGAACTCCTCCGGACGTGCTAGGGGCAGTTGTAGAGGATACAGGCTTATGAGTGGGAATAGATCGACGCGAGCAGGACTGCCTCTACAGCGAGACTTTGACTTGAATTCGTCTGGATATTCGAGGCGCGTCCCACCGCTGCGTCTCGACGGAGACCCTGAATGTAGCACTGTCGTCCTGCTGGCAACAGAAGCCAACGTCGGCGTTGAGCATGCTGCTACATGCTGCCAGTTATGTGGTAATGGTTTCAGCACGATTCGTGTCCCTCTCCTCCTCCTCTGCGGTCACTCCTTCTGCGAGCAGTGCATACATAGAGCGACTGAGAAATACCCGTCTGCCTTGAAGTGTGGCGTGTGCTCTATCGTGACACCACTAGGCCAGCAAAACCCTGATACCCTCCCCAAAAATGAGTCTATTCTTGACCTAGTCACATCTCGTGATTTTACATCCATAGTGACTGAAAAAAATGTCGACAAGTGTGCAGAATGTATCCACCACCAAGCATCTGTGTACTGCAGTGAGTGCTCAGCTTCCTACTGTAGTAACTGCTCTAAGAAGGCCCACGAAGGTTCCCGCGTTCGCTCCAAGCACAAGCCTGTACCAGTTAATTTGAAGCCACGGCCACAGCCAACCTGCCGCAAGCACCCTGGTCAGAGTTGTGTTCTCTACTGTGAGACAGAGAGACAGCCTATGTGTGTCCTCTGCAAATTCTACAACCAACACCGCTTCCACAAGTACGCTTTTGCCAGGTAGATTGATACAACATGATTAAGTTTTTATTTGCTCTACAGGTTTGATCTGTTGAGTAAAGTTGCAACAAAATATACAGCCACTGTAACGGAGAGGCTCTCTAAGTTGGATCGAATGGAAAAGGACCTCAGTACTACAGCAGCTTCTCTAGCGGTGGCAGTTGAAGAAGTCAATAACAATGCACGAAAAGTGCAGGAGAGATTAGAGAGACACTGCAGTGGTATATTCTACATTATTGTGATCCATTTGGGTGCTGTAGTTGAATGAAATATTGCATTATTCCATAGACCTGCAGAAGGCGTACTGTGCAGCTATTGAGCGACGTGAGACGGTGCTATTGACACTACTAGACAGACAGGTTGAAATCAAGCAAGATATGATTGAGGAAGCAAGAACAGAAGTAGCAGCTGCCCGTGCTAGAATTCTTGCTGCAAAGGAGGAAGGTATGTCTTCCTCTAACAATATGTGTGCTGATTTTATCACCATTTTTTGGCAGCTGGACAACTTCTGAAGCTCAACCCTGTGACAGCCCTTCTCTCTCGTCAACACATGGATGCAAACTTTGACCGAGCTCTAAAGCGAACAACACTTGTAATGAAGCCTCCTACGCAGCCTGAAGTACCTCTGTCCCTCCTGCCAGACATAACTCCCACCATTAATGAGACACTGGGACAGCATGGTGCTATTCTGCAATTACCTTCAAAGCCTTCATTCCAAAACGTGACTGTGACAACAAACACAATATCACTAAAGTGGGAGTGTCATCAGGAGAACAGCTCTGACATCAGTATGGACAGAACGTTAACTTTCTCCCTACACTGTCATGCTGATGTGCCATTTAGACTCAAATCTAAGATCTCATTCAAGAAGCAGATTGTTAAAAGTGGAATGCAGATCACACCTGAAAGTGGCTTTGAGGACTTCTCTGGTAGTTCCGTTGAGCCAAGTACCACTTTCCCCTCAGTGCCCCAGTCCCTGTTGGGCAGTAGGAATATCTCACTCATTGCCATTCAACCAACTGATACAGGTGTAATACTGCAGGATTATCATCCCAGTGTGCCTGCTGTTAAAAACACTCCCCATGACCAGCCACCAAAGCCCAAACTGCAAGCACCAATTGGCACCAAGCTACCAGAGATAATCAAACCAGCTCCTGGAATCCAAGCCATTCCACATCTTCTGGCCTCTCAAATTCCGTCGTCATCCAGTGCTGCAAAACTGAATCTTCCACCTTTAAAACAAACCCACGAGGCTCTAGCTGAGACAGAGACTGACCAGCTCAGTGACTCAACAACCGTCAGTGGAACACTGGCAGACTCAGAGGACCCCTGCAACTCTCCAACTCCCTATACCAACAAGACCACAAGTAAAGTAGGAGCAAAGAAAGCAATAGCAGTTGATACATACTCTACAGACAGCAGCTCAAGCATGTCAGAGACAACTAGCAGTAGCACCCGAGATCCCACATTCACCAATGTCGGGCGGTTCTGCAGAGGGTTTGCTTTTGATGAGATATACTGTGGCAAAGAGAACAAATTCCTCTACTCTGGCCTTCTTCCAGGAGCCACATACTACTTCAGAGTCCATTGCCATAATGCTGCTGGCTGGGGTCCATGGAGTGACACTGTGAAATGCACAACAGTTGTAGGTGAGTGAGCGATATAGTATACGTTTAAATCATCATTCCTATTTTCCCTTTTCTACAGTTAACAAGTAACTGAACATGCCAAGTGTCAAGTCTTGTTAATTTCTACTGTGTGTACTCTACTATGAATAAACTTCTGTCATGAATACAGACTGCTATGAAATCATAAAGTGTTGAAATTTCATCATTTGACGGCAAATTGCTATAGCAACCAACAAAATAATAACTATTATTATTATTAGCCATGACAACTAAACACGTCACACCGTCATTAGCTACCTTACCATGGACTAAAACATTGTTGTTCACTGCACTCTCTTCCGAAAAAGGAGCAACCACTTTGCTCCAATATAGTTTAATCAGACGCCAATGACGGATGCATACAGTACAGATAGCTTTTTTGTCTTCTCCCCATGTTACACTCTGATACCCTGCCCTCATATGGCAGCCCACTTCTATATTGGTGTTTCCATTTTCTTTGACCTATTGTTGCCCTATGATAATCATGCCCATTCAATCAGGAAGTGAGCTTAGTAGTTGTTGGAAAGAAAAGGTTTAGCAGAATCTACATATATTTTCTGGTTTGTGGTGTCAATTTCAATCTGCTGTTGGTGACAACTAGCCTAGGATAGGTAGGCCTGTAATGTCTCATCTAATATATCTTCTGTGTATCCAACCACAGTTCATTCTCCGAGTCCGAGATGAAACTGAAAGCATCAAGCATCCTGCAACTTAGTTTTGCATTTTCTTTTGCTCAGCTATGAACGCGGCATACGCGCTCCTCTCCCACGATGAGTATACACATACGCGCCGGAAATATCTACGTGTACGTGGTTGGCGGATCGTGATTGCCGGCGACTGCGCAATCGTTGAAGCGGTGCCGGTCGGCAGCGGAGACTCCAGAATGGACCACATTTATACAGACACAGCCGAAGATGAAGTATGTCGTCCTTATTGTCATATGGATGAAAAAGAGGTAAATAGCTATATAGTCTATAGCTCTATAGGGATTATCGCGTAATTGCTGCAGGAAGGAGAGTTCAACGTGGTTGCGGTGGTGAGGTTAATCACGGCTTTTCCTAGGTGAGAACCAAAAGCAAACCTGCCTGCTAACATAATCATGTTTTATAGCTTTGCTGGAGCACTATCCATTGTCTGTTCAGCTGTGTACAGAAAAACTCTCTGCAATCCCAAGGTAAGAATAGCTAGGAGGCACAAGTAGCTAGCTTCTTTTTCAACAATTAGGTACACCCAATATTTGTCCTGTCGATTGTGGACACTCTGCTAAGTATACTTTGGATCACTGGAGCACTGGTGTGGCTGAAAGGTGATGGACTCAGTGCATATCAAAACTTCAGAGTTGGCTGTTTTACAATCAACTGCATGACTGTGGTGAGCCCCTTACCCAACAAACTGAAACCGCTATCAGAGTAAACATGTTACCGCTAAAAAATTTTTCTAAAAAACTGACAAAGAAAAACAGTAGTTAGGGTATGAAACATTCAATACACGAATCGTGGACATGTTTTTCATACAGACTTACATATTAGCTACTAAAGTCTTTCCCTAGGGCAGACGACAATATTGGAAGGAGACCACGAAGCTGTGTAAAACTTTAAATTCTCAATTCCCAATTCTTAGTTGAAATAACACTCCACAGCCCTAGCCTATATTACTTTACACAGTCTAAAAACTATAGAGATCACTTATCCATACATCTGTACACAATGATTTCTACACTCTTAGATACTGCAGTGCATAGCTATGAATGTGACTCTAATTTATGCCCTCCTGGCATACTCCAGTATCAAACAAAGAGACTTCAGTGGTTTTTATGTGAGAACAAACCATTTAAGAGTTTACTTTGACATTGACGAAAACTTTCACTTTGTTGGTTCTTTGCCCAGATGGTGCAGCAGAGACCTGGGTCAGTTCATGTATGGCCTCCTGTCTGCTCTTTCACTGCCTACTCCATTGCCTGGTGTGTTTCCACCCAAGTCCTACCTCCAAATTATGAAAACCTCTGCAGGACTCTACCTATCATTTTGATAATGATTCCATTTGGTGTGATATCCCAATACTACAAGATAGTGGATCAAGCTAACAACTGCTCCTGCTGGTATAACTATATACCTACCCTTTACTATAAATGAGTTGTTGCAAAACAATTCCAGGTGCTTACCATTTTATGGGAACGTTTTGCCTCATCCACAGATAGGTCACCAAAATGTCAAGGTTAGGGTTTAAACTGATATGACATTGATTTTACTAAACTGTCAACATCATTCTCCATAGGACAATTACAGATTCCATTTGCATCGCTTTATTATGTCCTACTCTGTGATCCTTATTCTAAACTTCACCGTTGTGTTTTGCTGTATGGCAGTGATTTATTTCAAAGTTTTTCGTCGAATAAAACACATGTCAACACAACAAGGTAAATAGTGAATTAACTGTGCACAGAGAGAACAGTAACCAATAACATTCTCAGAGAACAATAACAATGCTACTCTATATGGAGCAACTCAGGCCATGATTCTTGCTGGACAGAAAGATGCAAAGAAGAGGGTGTTCATTTTTTTCACTATTTACATCATATCTGGAGTAATGAGTAAGTATTACCTGACTATAATTATAGTGCTACTCAACATCATTTTTCACAGCTTTTGTATTTGGGCTCTTCATGATTGTTACACTGGTGCGGATGTATAATGGGAATACACTCGATCCTAAGAAAGACTTGAAGATTACATACACCTTTCTTCTGTTGGAGGCAAGTGATGGTTAAAAGAGCTTAAGCGATATATTTTGCTCTACACAGGCAATATTTGTCCCATCACAAGGATTTATGAATGCTGTAGCCTATGGTTGGACTCGTGGAGATTTTCTGAGTGTTATGTCTACCACACGACACAATAGACTAAAATCTGGTTCTATAGCTGCCTCCTATGAAGCGACAGAAGGAGAACAAGAAGCGAAGGAGGAGGAAGAGGAGGTGGAGACAGATGACGAGGAAAAGAAGGAGGACTGGGAGGGAGGGGAAGAGTTCTGTAGAGGGAACTCCATCTTATTCTCCTCCAGCAGAGCTCTAGACTCAATGACAGGAGGAAGGAATATTGCCCCTTTTTAGATGTCTCCTGGAACAAGAATTGATATTAGCTGCATGTCAACTTATTAGTATGTTGTGGTTGTGATGCAAACATTTTCACTTCGATATTTTCACCAGGCCCTTAATAATAATATTATAATAATTGGTGAAGAAAAGTAGGTTTAGAGGGAGGAAGGGATTGGTGAAGGAGTATATACCTCTGGCACAATGATGACTGTGAAAGTGAGTTCTGCTCTAGCTGTTGAGTGTCAGCAATTTCTTAGTTAGAAATTTGGTTCTCTGCTTAACCTTCTTACTAAGCATTACATTTTAGGTCATAACAGCAAATAATCCCAGCGTTCAACAGTCCCATTCTAAGATTGCGTCTGGGAAAACTTCAGGCTGTCGATTGTTCTGGGTGCGTGTTTGATGGCCCCAGTGCTATGACGGCCACCTGAGTATATATAGGTACATAGATGTACAGTACAAGTGCATTTGTACAGAAGGCATATAATGTATAGGTGTGTTAAGCTTTTACTGTGGGAATAAGGGATCAGCTGATCGCCTCCGCCGAGTGCTGTATTGAAAGAGCATGCATGATTTTTTCAAAGAGTGCTGTATTGTTGAAAAAGTCAGAGGCTTTCGTTCAAAAGCTCGGGGTAGGCAGTTGAGAGAGTAAGGATGCTTCCTTCAACGACCTCTGTTCAGGCATGGTGGACGAGCATTCTCTCTTGATAGATCGTGCTTGGAGAGCTGCCAAACTGTTCACTGCATCTAGTGTAAGGCTTACCATCTCTACTTTACTTTTTTGAAATACATGTGCGCTTTGGATTGATCTAAGAAGTGGTGGGAAATTTGGATGTCGTTTGCTTGCAGATGACGTTGTGGGTGAGTCTAACGAGTTACAGAAGCATGTATGAAAAATCGGTTGCAAAGGAAATAGACAGTGCTTGGAGATGGGGGTCCATGTTCTTTGTCATCCATATTTGGCGAGCGGGAGCGAGCCAACCTAGTCGTTCGTTCGAGCGGAATTTATATAACGGCCGTCGTCGTACGTACACACGTCGTACGTCGTGTAAGTACGCATGCGCGTCTTTGAACGCGCTACTTTTTATCCGAAACTTAACTACTTCCAAATTTTTACACATTTTCACACATGGTGCCTCGCGATAATATTATGCGCCGATCGGTCTATATAGCTAGAGAACTCTCCTCCATTCGACGGCATGCGCTGCAACCTTCGGTGACTGACCGAGGCTGTACCTCTTCCCAATCTTCATGGTTCCAAGCTGCAACGTGCAAATACGCTAGGATTGCTCGTGCACATACTGCTGCATGCCAGCTGCCTGGCTGGTGGACCAGCTAACGCACGCCGCGTTGTCGGGCAGCCCGATCGCTGCCTAGCCTACTGCCATGCCAGCTGCCTGGTGGACCACGACAGACGAACTGAAAGCCTAAGGTAACGACCGTTCTGCGAATATACAGTACGCATGTAAACGCCGACAGGTAGCTCTGTCTTGCGGAAAGCTGTCAGTGCGCTACGTTATGCAGCCCGAACATCGCGGACAAATCCCAAGTTGGGTCGCTCCCGCTCGCCAACAATGTTCAACATTCTTCTAGTGTATAATAACTAGTAAGACGTATGTACTTAGAAATGTCAATTTTTGATTGTTGTTGCTGCCAGTCGTTATGACAGAGTATGGAAGTGATGTGTTGAAAGCAAAACCAAATAAGGAGCTGTGAATGTAATGATGCGTTGTTGTTTTTACTCTTATGGAGCAAGCTCCTCCCCTCCCTTAGATAGAGGCTGGCACGTGGACTACAATGTAGTTTTTAGGAGACTACTGATATGAGGGAAAGTATGAAGAGGGACTGGGAGGTGAGACAGACTGCTTTTAACCATAGTGCTGGGACCACCCAGTGCTGGGACCACCCAGTGCTATATGTATATTATATAGGATGGAATTAGGCTTCTTCACTGACCATCTTCTCTAGTCCATTCATAATATTATGACAACACATGTTGATTATGTTACTCTACTGCGCAGTGCTTGGTGTCATTGTGTAGCTGTTCGAGATCCCGTTCCTTTTTTCTTGGCTTTTTGTGGGACACTAGAAAACCGGCGTTAGCCAAGGTGCATTTTCAATTTGAAACATACTATTAATGATAATGACAAGAAGTTTCCCTGTGGAAGTTACATTATTATGACATTTTCTCTGAATGACTAATTCTTTACACATACATACTCATCGTGGCTCTTTTTTCATTCCATTTTGCCGATATTTTTGGCTAGTGTGGTAAAATACGAATAGCGAGGACCAAGAAACATGCACAAAAGAGTGAACACGCAGACAAATAATGTATGATAAAGCAAGAGAGTGACTCAGAAGGAAATATGGCAACAATTACATAGTAACTATGCTGATTACCAAAACATGACGTAATACAGTTGTGACCAGAGTACTGGGTTGTTCATGGGTTTTTGTCGAGGTAGTCCCTGATATTCTGCAGCAACTCCTTCTTGACGTAGTCAGGAACAGCAGCTACAGTAAGAGAACAGGTTAGGGGTGGTGCAATTACTAACAACGATGTAAGAATAAAATTGTAGGTCCCATTGTTTTAGGTTAGAAAAATACTCTTGACTACATCCTCATCAAAAAAACTGCTGAGCAAATGAAAAGCACTCAAGGGGAAACCCTCGGCAAACTGCGCATGCGCCATACCGCTAATTGATAGGCTGGGCTATCAATATGCATTTCTCCCGTCAGTAGCTCGCGAAGAGTGTGACCTACAGTAGTAGATAGCATGGGGGAGTCGATAACGCCCTTAATTGTGACTTCTTGTGCCTCACAGGTACACAGATGGAGTGGATAATGTGGATGTAAGGCATGCATATTGGATTTTTCGCTTGTTTACACGCCATATCTCTTGAATGCAGTTGGGAAAATCACTTTGTTTAGTTTTGAGGTTCGCGTAGTTCTGAATTCACTGGTGTCGCTAATAGGCCCGCCTCGTAGCCTTTAGTGCCAGAATAAGACACACAGACAGACAGACAGACAGACAAACCAACTACTGTACCCTCGCTGTGCATGCGCACCGACGGTTAAAAAAGTCTATATTACAGTGGTAACCAACTACATAGTTACCCACAGATGCAGGAAATAATGAATGGAGTTGTGTGGCTACCTCGGGCCTTTGGAGTAACATCTTGTACCAGACTGTCAACTGTCACATTGTTCAGCCCCTTGATGGCAATTACCTCTGTGTCAAAAGCAAATACACATATCGTCAACAGAGGGGAAATGACTACCACTCTGATAAGATGAACACAAGCACACACGCAAATGCAAAGTGCTGTTTTGATAGGTGAGGTAGTGAAGCACTCTGGCATGGTTTTTTTGGTCACAGATAAGGCGACAAACCACATCTCAGAAGTAATGCGTGCAGCGAAAAGCCATTAGCTGCATACCCATGGACTCTATCCCTCCCATAGCACAGTGGTTTGAGGTTTGCCTTTGTGTTGTATTGTGTTGAAGATTCAATCCCTTACCTATATAGACAGTTGGTAGAGCGCTTGCCTAGACAGCAGAGAGCATGGGTTCGAATCCCACCTAGGGCAGTTCTTCTTTTACTCCTTGGGAACAAAAGAACCGTCCTAGGTGTACAGTCGACTTGTTTGTTTGTGCCTTTGCCTTTCTATATACCTTGTAGTTGACACATGCTATATACATACAATTTTCATGTGTAAGTTGGCAATGCCCTGTTTGTACTGACATTAATGACGAACGAAAAATGTCTGCCTCTGTGGGATATTTAATGTCCCCCAGAAGCTAGTCCTTCACTGATATAATTGCGGCACTAACACAGCAATCCAAACCTCTGCAGTGATTCTTCAGTTGCTCCCTCCATCCACATTCCTTCAGTCTGTTGCGCAATAGCTCCTTCAACCTGCATGTGACAACAAAGAGGTAGCAAGGCAAAAAAGTCAACTAGACCCAGGACAACTCTTTGTTTCAAGGTAAAAAGAAGAGCTACCCCATGCGGGATCGAACCCACGACATTCTTGCTTTCTAGGCGAGCTCTCTACCAACTGAGCTACCAGGCAACTCAATACAACACAAGGCAAACCTCAAACTCCTGTGCTATGGCACTGTATACTCTCACTCAGTAGATATGTAGGCCGGACTATTTAAACCACCAAAGACGCCCAACTCAAAACTGAGTATATGCATCTTACAACAACGAGGTAGCAAGGCAAAGGAAAGACAAACAAGTCAATTGCACATAGGAAAAGTCTTTTTTCAAAGGAAAAAAATAAGAGCTCTCCTAGGTGGGATTTGAACCCACGACCCTCTGTTCGCTTTACCAACTGAGCATGTTTTGTTGAATTTGGTATGTCAGCAAGGGCACTGATAACATTATCCAATCTCATTGACAGTGGGAAATGAGTGGGTACAATGCACACCGTGGTGGAAGCTCTTCTGAGACCCCACGCGATCACAATCGCAAGAAGTATTACATAATTATTTCACACTGTACTGCCAACCGTTCTCTTTCTCCACTCTCTTCGAGTTTCTGATTTATCTGTGTCTTCAGATGAGCTTCTCGCAGCTTTCTCTCAGCTTGGTAGCTGTATAGAAGAGTAAACATTTCGCGATACCTCACACAATGTCTCTCAACTTACTCAGCCATCTTCAGTCTTCGAGACCTGCAAGCCACGCCACGCGCACTACATACGCGCGCTTATTTCGTGCTCAAGGGGTTACCGGAGAACAGGCGGAGCATCGATGACCCCGACGACCTTTTCTGTCAGCCTGCAAGGACATCCTCCTCTCATTCAGTCACTCTGCAGTTAGTCAGAAGATGTTTGACTCCCTAGCACTACGAAGTATGGCTTGGATGCGTGCTGTAAGAGCTGCAACAGCCACCAGGGGGGCAGTGTGCAGCAGATGCCTCGCTACAAACCCAGAGTCTGAGGTTCAGTCGCCGCCACGGACCCCATCAGGCATAAGCACCCCAACACCGAGACACGTCCTCTCTCCGTACGAGAGGTTTGTGGTCAGAATCACTAGATCCCACCGTGGAGGCGACATTCCTACCACCATGGGGTGAGCTGTTCTTGTGATGATGCTTCTCTATGCTGCTGAGCATGGCTCTTAGTGAGTCATATTATCTTATGGCTCTGTTTCTTGCAGTCCGGAGGAAATGGACAAGGTGAACTCACGGTTCCGAATTGGACTGATGTTTGTCATGATGGCACTCACTCTGGGAGTGTGCCTGCGTGCCATCCAGCAGGGGAAGAGAGAGAAAAAAGCTCACTCTAACGAGATGGTCTATGCCAGGAACCGCAACCGATACAAGTAGCCAATCTATACACAGGACACTTATTTTTGTCTACTGTCAGTGTAAATATTCATGTGCACCTTTTCTGAATGTACATGAGCAAAATCTTGTCAGGGTTTATTTAAAAGTATAATTATGCAGGTTTAAAAAAAGAAATTATGTTGGTTGAGCACAGTATAACTGAACAACACAGTGTGTCATGATGACTGTTTTTGAGAGTCAGCATGAGACTTAACTAGCCATACAGCTACACACCTGTCCTTGCTGCCCGACACGAGGACAGAGCCGTCATCTGACAGGTGGAGACATGTTACTGTGCCTGTGAGTAGTCAATAAAACAAACACATTTGGCAAGGAAACAGTTACACTCATGCAGCATACACGTGCAATTCCACTTCCTCTGATCAGTAGTGCTCTTGTCTTCGGATACATAGAAAGGCTTATCCATTACTAACACCAAATAATGATGTATTGATTCAGAGACCTGAGTGTGCCTTGTGTCTGGACACCTCGCAAAGAGTTTCAGCCTCCCACACATGAATGTCTCCTGACTCCCCACCCATTACCAGATGCCCATCCATCCACACCACACATCTACAGAGAGAAGAGAGGCAGTCAGCTTCAGAGGTCACCCTATACAACAGCAAACTAACTGCAGAATTTCAGGTGCCCTCTTTGAAATGACCTCCACCTTAGCAGTGGGGTCAACTACTCGTACAATACCATCACCACCACAAGTACACAGTCTACCGCCACCTGAAGTGGGAGCAAGTAAAAATAATTCCAAACAGGTGCAGTACACCAAAAAACAAACCTGGACTGAACCGGAGAGCAGTGACCCCATCATTGTGAGCTATATAAGACACACAGAAACCACACTAAGGACACAACCATGTTACTAGAGAACTATTACCTTGTAGCTCATACTCCCTTTCTTCATCACCTATACTCCACACTGTGACGTATCCTGTAACGCAAAAGTGCATAAGAAGATGCAAAGCCATGTAAAGGGATGTAAGTACCAACCATCAACAGTTCCCGAGGCAACTCTAAGAGCATCACAGTCCAGGTCAATACATGAAACCTCATTGTCGTGATCCAGTTCACTCTAGGTTCGGATTATTTATAGTAGAGGATATGATGAAATCAGTGAAAGTTAAAACTTCCTATACTTGCCTGTAACTCAGCTGGCTCAGGCTTGTGACAAGAAGGGTCATAGGGCAGGGTCCATACCTGAAAGGAAGCATAACTCATTATCCTTCCCCACAGAGTGAATGTGGTAGCCAGCCTGGTCATCCAGTCAGGTCTGTCAAGCATTTTTACTAAGCCACCAATTTCCTTTTCGACCAGAAGGTATGGCATAAACAATATCTTACTACAATATCTCACTACGGCAGGATTAGAGAAGGGTCTTACTGATAGACCGGTTAACCCCTACGCTGAGTAACAGACTATTTGTCAACCTTTAGTGCTGCAAACCAGTGAGACATTTCTCCTAAGAGTGTGTATATTGTGTGTATATCGTGGAAGGAAACCTTGACAGTGGAGTCCCAGGAGCCAGTGGCCATGGTGCCATGTCTCCATGAGAGACTGGTGACTGAACTATGGTGGCAGTACTCAGCATTGACCACTGCTGCATACTCTGTCGAGTAAGTATAGCTGCAATACAGTGTACTCATTTGATAGTGCAGACAAATAGGAGTGATCGGAAACTAACACGTTATTGTCCCATGAGCCTATGAGAACTGCTGTGGAGCCAGGTAGGATGACTAAACTGGACAGCGGCTATGGAGTCAGAAGAAAAATCACTGGTAAACTGTCATTTTACTAAAACTCACCAAGTTAGAAATATTGCTACTACGAAGTAACTGATTGTCTTCCAGTGTGTGAACCTTGATGGTCTTGTCTAAGGTACATAACCTAAACTGAATACTGCATGCATTTCAGGTAAACCCAAACACATACCATTGGATACTGAGAAGTAAGATTTGCTATCATGAGACACGCCCACAGCAGACACAGCTCTGGGGAACAAATGTTCATACACAGGTAGTTGTATTGATCACTTACTCTTTATGGACTTTGTCTATGTGCTTCAGCGTAAGACACTTAGTGTCTCTGCATGAACCTGCACACACACACCACACCAAAGGAATGACTTGGACCAGTAATAAGTGGCCACAGCATTGTTTCCCAGTGAAATCAGGAACGCATGAAAATAGTGCACCAATTGGACTTTTACACACATTAGATGCCCTCAGGCCCTATACACTAGGCTAGGAACGGGACCCTCAGGTACATTAACTGCCTCTCTATCTAAGAAAACATATTCAATAAAGTTGTATACCTTTTGCAGGGGAACGGCTATCAGGAGGCGCATCAATATGGATCCACTCATCATAGCGGTTAGTGGGTGGAGTTTGAGCTGCTGCAGGCAGTGGGGGCGCATTGGAGTTGATATGAAGAGGAGGAGAAGGAGGAGGATGAGAGTGAGGAGTAAGAGGTTGGGATACAGTGGAGCTACTAGTAGTGGCGAGGCCTTGTGTGGTGTCTCCATTGCTACAGACAACACCATCCACTGAGACCAGGGCCACGGCTGGTGACTGGGGGAGACATGCAAACATTATAGTTACTATATACATGAATGATTTTAAGCTTTGTTGGTGAGCAGGAGCGATCCAACTGCAGATATACTGCCATTGGTGAGCATGCACGGGGAGTTTGCCGCATAGCCGTCTTCCACTGCTGGAGGCATACCTCGTGCGATGCCGGCAATAAGGGTGTGTTTTCCAGTCCTCATGTGGTTGATGCTGCCCCCTGCGAGGTGTGTCCTTGGCTGTTTCTGAAGCAAGAGCTGCAAGCTCTGCTGTCGTAGAGGCGTACGCGTATATACGTGACACCGCGATTCGCAGAAGTGTAATGTGGGGCTGACGGCTATTCAGAGTCACGTAGAACATTACGGTATGTGTCACATCGCCGGATCGCCAGATAGAAAGAAAGAAATAAAGGAATAAATGGAAAATCGGCCCGTTGCGATGACTAGGTTGGCTCGCTCCCGCTCGCTAATTACACAGTCTATCAAGAGGAGTGAGTGTGCATTCACGTGAACTAAACGCCCAAGGTTCTGACTGATGAATATGACATGTTGCAGTGGTAGAGCCTAATTTTACTGCAGAATAAACATTGAAAGGGTGACTACTATCAAAAAGTCGGTTCTTGCTGCTGCAGTCTAAACGTGTTGTGCACATGGTTCAAAAGTTAAAAGCAAGTAAGTGTAATTCATGGAATTTAACGCTGGGGCTAGAACCCGTCCTACCAAATAGCTCCTTATTATTAACAAAGCCGCATGAAATGAACAGACCTTGTTGACTACAATTTTTCTTGGGTGAGGCTGTGTGAAGAGTTGTTTAGGAGTCTGACCAAACTCTTTGATCTGTAGCTCAATGGCAGCAAGTTCCTCTGGATCTCTGATGCTGGTATTAATAATGATAAAGTGTATACACAAGGTAGCATAGATGTTAGTGTTAAGTAATTTTATGTTACCATACTTTCCAGTTGTACGTTATATCACCAAATTTGCTTCTGATTTTCGGCGTGTGACTAATTCAAAAATTATTTGGACACTATCGCTATCTTCATACACATGTGTTTAAAGTGCTGGATGAGATACTACAGCTATTAAAGATTTCTTACTAGGAGTTCATTATGAGCAGTGTGCACAATAAGTAAATTAGTGACTTCAAGCAATGAAACACAAGGCGACGTACAGTATACTCTGGAAAGTATGGTACGATACACATGCTAATGCTCAGGGCACCCAGAAACATAAAAGCAGAGCTGGCTCCAGAGATTTATTGCTGGGGGACAATGCAATAGATTTAGAGGGTCTCAATAACAGTAAGCCTGCTATTTGGGGAAAAGTGTCTCCTGCGAAGCATATTCAGGGGGACGAGATTGAGGGACTATGTCCCCCATGGCACCCTCTGGTGCCAGCCCTGGGTAAAAGCTTGGTACTTACAACTCAGGGTTGAATGATCCTTCGTATGTGAGGTAGTGAAACACTGAGCAAAGGACGCAGACATATACACAAATAGAGGTTTTAGTAGCTCCAATCCTTACAGTTGTCAGCCTTGAGGGCCTCTTCCCCCCGCTGTTTGTATCCAAAGACCAGGTCTATCCAGTGGTGAAGGTGAGACGACACATAGTCACACTCCAGAGCTGCCTGCAGCTTAGTTGTGAAATCCTCGGCACCTGCAAGGGATATTACCAGTTATGAACGCCCAAAAAGAGCTTGGGCAAGCAGAACGGAAATATCCAAAAGCAGTGTCATACTCACTCTTGGCCCATGGAGGAAGTATGACATCATTGACCCTAACTCCATCTGACCTCACACCCAGATCCAAGTTCTACAAGAAGATAAATCACTAATGCTTTGAAAACATGTGTACAATACCTGTAGGTTGAGTAGGAAGTCTCCTGGTGGCTGGTAGAACTCTGGTATCAACTAAAGCGTACAGATACTCTCGTGCACATGTGCCAGGAAATGGGCTCACCTCCTTCACATCGGCATGGTCAGTGTTGACATTCTCCCAGGTTCTGGATATCCTATACATCAACACAAACACATAAACGAAGATAAACACAAATTGTAGGAGCAGCCAAAGCAGGGGGTAACAGGGTTGAAGCAAGGAATGCTATTGTATGCAGTCGGCAAGTAAGTGAGCCCACCACGAAATGCGTGATATAATGAAGCTGTTACAATTTTACGGAATTGCATTAACTTGTAAAATGTATTGCTAAAATATTTACTTGTGGAAGAGTCGGTTGGGCTGGTCAAACTTTCCATTCTGAAGACACAGCAGGTATTCAGGAGCTATGGTACAGACACAAATATTCATTCATTAACTAAACCCCGGCATGAGTTTTGGTCAAGATACACTGACAGTGTCATCACACAGAAAACCAGGGTTGCATAAGAGGGTGGGGGTGCACTGGGATTAGGTGAGCAAGTCTCTACATCCTATTAAAAACCTTATTGTCCCAAAGTGTCGTACCTAATATTCCGGTTTTCCTGACACTCAAATGTAACATCCATCCCAGCCCCCCTCAAAACCTGATGCTACCCCTGACTACATACACATGTAAGGAATTACCAGCTCTAACAAGGTAGTAGAGCACATAGCCAGGGGCTGAGTAGTGGGTGCCATACAGGAACTTGGTCCCTCGCATCTGCTCATACCGCTCCTGGTAGCAGGCAAGGGGAAAGATATTAGCATACATCTTCACACTGCGTTCTTCTGGACGTAGAAAAACAAACAAGAGCTAGGGGTTAAATTCGCTACCTTGAAAAATGCCAGTCTTTCATCATTGAGGGCCCCAATGGGTTTACTGAGGTCTCTGAATGTTGCTGGATGTTTCAGATCTGTAGGGCAGGACACATGTTCATTATGAACACGTAGTTAGTTGTTGGTCGGGGCTTTGTGGAAAAACAATGTCTATATGTAGCATATCTGACCTAAAGAAGAGCTCGTGTAGTCTGCCACAACCCAAGGCATTACAGGGTATTGCATGATGTCATTGAAACTGCGATCTGAAAGACTGGAGAAAATAAGTACAGAACATTGTTACAGGCACTCGCCACACTTTCAAACGAAATACACGTATTTCTTGGCTCAAAATAATAAAGGGAGTACTCACAAGTTGAGTAGCATGAGGTACTGATAGTTGGACATGTCTCCTCTGAGCCAGTTGAGAGTGGCTTCCTCCAGACTATCCTGGCTGAGACTGACTTGGGGCTGGGCCATGATGGCCTCGTGCAGTCTATTCCTCTCCCGAGGTGATGGCAGCACCAGGAACATACACTCCCCACTACCACACAAACACTCCAGACCCTGGGCAGTGTTAATAACCACTCAACCGGTGTTAAATAAAATGTATGAGAAAAAGTGAACATACCACATGCCGTAGCAAGTATCTTCTTTTTGTGACATACTTGAGCTCAGACAGCTGCAGCTTGAGCACAGGCTCCTGCATAACAGAGAGGGCAGAAAGCACTAGACTGTCAAGAACCAGCAATGTTTCCACGTGGAACTATCAGGCATACTAACTAGCGCAGACACCTTCCCACATTACTGGGATAAGGACACCATACATGGTGTATATAAGGCAAGGCATAGCAAACAAGTCAACTACACACAGAAAATGCTCTATATACATACCAACTGCAGGGCAACTCAGCTGGTAGTGGTTCAAATCTTCAATACAACACAAGGCAAACAACAAACCACTGTGCTATGGAATGCTTGGGATAAGCACACCCTCCCATAATTATGGGCATGCAAAGGGATAAAGAACAGAGTACTTTAATCTCACAACTTCAACGTTGTTGTAAGGCTGGAAGTATATTCTGGAGGAGGTGAGCATGATTCGTCCCGGGTTAGTAACGAGAGGGGTGACCCTCTCTCCTAAGAGCTCCACTACTGTCTCCTCATAGAGGTCCTCCAGCCAGCTCACATTGAAGGACACCTTGGAGTGACGCTCTTGCACAATGCTGTTGACCTGGTGTATCGTGGAAATGGTGTGTGGAGTGTGTGGGTGATCATGGGCAGGCCTAATATATAGTTCATGTACCAGTTTTTGGTGCTCTGCTTTTAGAAGTCTACTGGCTCTTTGAAGCTGCCAAGGTGACAAGAAACATGGAATTGAAACAGAAAATTTGTACAAATGCAAACAGGCTCTATTAATGTACCATGTACTTATGAAACAAGGGAGTCAATGTGAGAACTGTACTTACAGTCTGGATCTGTGGCAAGACTTCATCGACCGATATGTAGCTCAGAGAGAATTGGCAGCGCATCTCTGTCTGAAAAAACAATGGTATTAACGAAAATACGAACAACACACAAAAATGTGCAGGAATTGACACTTACTCTAACAAATTTGTGGGGAGAAACGATATTTCCCTCCAGCATCTCAGTGTACTGTGAACACACCACCACAAAACTAGAGCTGGTCCTAGGAGAGGGACACAGTTCATGTAGGGACCAGCACTCTAATTGTGAGCTACGATGTGCTACCAATGACACTTCTAAGGGACACCAACTATGTTTGACTGCTCAAACACACACTATACACATACGTGGTTCAGATCCTCCGTTAATTAGACCATATAGTGGATGTGAATGACAGGCAAATTACGGTAGTGAAGGCCAAAGAGCACAAACAATACGTGCCCCATGTAGTACAGTGTAGTAGGAGGGGAGAATGCACAATAATAAAGGGATTACCCTGATTGCTGCTGTCTTCTCTCTATCTTCTTGCAGTCTCTCAGAGCAATCTGCAGCCAGTATTAGGGTATTTGTGTGGTCTTGATCTACAGCTGTTAGCCGATCACCTTCAGTATTGGGTAGGCATGATCCAGTGCGTCAAAAATCAGAGACCTGGAACACACCTTTAGTCGTCCTCTTTCTTTCCTGTAAGGAGTATAGAGATATGCATCCACATGTCATATCAGTTTGCACATCAATATCATTCATGGATGTGCGACAGACCTGTCGATGGACTCAGACTCTGTACTGGCGTTGGGGTAGTAGATGCAGCTGTAGTCTTCAAAGTAAATCTCTCCAAACTCCAGCAGCAACAGGGAGAACCTGCAGACAGTGGGGCACAGCACCACAGGGAGGAGATCATTGGTGCAGGAAGTCATACAAGTCACCATGGGTAATCCATACCGTTCCACGGAGACGGAACGGTGTCTTCGTGGTCCCACTAGTGTACATGGCAGCTCCTCCTGCCGACACCAACCTGCCATCGGTCATCAAGGCCGGTAAAAACTATGAATCATGTATAAACGACTTCGCACATGTCCATCACATGACAGATTCTAAACGGTGCCCACTAGAAAGCAGCTGAGTCAGCACGTAGGACTCGTCTTCCAGCGGAGAAGTCTGGCTAGTGTCGTCACTCTTGCGTGGAGTAAGTAGTAGTAGGCCTTAATTATTTTTCATATGTGGAGATCAATAGATATTTGGCAAACCTCATGTCACTGGAGATACGATAGTTGTCCGCTGTTCTTTTCCCAGTGGCTATGGTGATGTCAGGGGGAGTACTGTTGCCATGCATTAGATGCTCGCTCTCCCAGATTCTCCTCCCGCTCCTCCCTCTCCTTCTCTTCCTCTCATATGCTGTCACACATCCACCAAGACCACGCACCGCCAGCAGAGACATCTTCCCCTTTGACTACCTCAGTCCCTATCCCCCTGGTACACACGGTTCTAGACGAACCATCCGTGATATCTCTAACTGCCTTCATACAACATGGAACAATAGAACATTTGAGACATTCCATGTCTCAACACAGCCACCAGTCTCTGAGGAGGTCACCTACCATCTCCACAAGTTTGCTGATGTAACAGATAGGCCACTGGGACCAAAGTATCTCGTAGGGACTATTGCTTATGTGGAGGAGCCATACCACACTTTCTCTGTACTGGAGCCAGGTGGGGAGGGAAGCTGCTCTAAGCTGTATGGAGCAGCACGTAAGACAGTTGGCGACACTACTGCGACCAGGAAGGGAGGTTGCAAGCTAGCTGCCAATGGAGGATTCTTTGTCGTGGTTTCCGGACAGTGTCTGGGCAACATTGTGTCTGATGGTAGAGTAGTGAGGACTACAAACAATGAGCAGAATGCTAACTTCGGCATCCGAGAGGACGGGTCAATTGTGGTGGGCTATATCCCTGACGAGGAGATTCTCAACACCACCAACCCCTTCAGGCAGTTGGTGACAGGTGTCGTGTGGCTGGTAAGGAACGGGACTAACTATGTTGACGAGAGCAAGAAGATGGAGTGTGCTGACCACGAGGACACTGGTCACATGGACACCTTTGTGGAGGTGATGTCTGCCCGCAGTGCTCTGGGCCATGATGCTCAGGGAAGACTGGTCATGGCTCAGATTGAGGGCCAGACACACCGCAGGGGGTGAGGCTGCGGTGTACATACACACATGTTCTAATGGTTGGCAAGGCAAACATTTTTTTGAGAACGTGGAAGGGAAGGGTCCAGGATGTGACTTCTGATTACTGTAGTATAATGTTAACACCCTCCCCTAATTTTCTTGGTTGTGCTGACTTGACAGACTGACACTGAATGTATGTGCAGAATGGCTAACACACTGTGAACTCTGTCTTTTCAAGCCTCTTTGTGCATGCCCTGAACAAATGATGAGTTCACACAACTAAGAATGGTTGGGGTCTGGCTTCTGACCTTGCAGTGACACTTCTCCCTATGACATGGGCTCTGTATTACGTGGCATGTAATGAAACCCTGTAGGACATTTTTCTATTCTTTTAGTGACTGATGACTTTTTTTAGGGGAATGCATTAGGGCTACGTTCTTGATTGTACAGGAAGCTGGTATTAAATTTTTTATATTTCGTAAACAGAGCAAACCTGGTAGAGTTTGCAGACCTCCTGATTCGTCATGGAGTGGTAAATGCTGTCAATCTGGATGGGGGAGGTTCCAGTACTCTAATGGAGGATGGTGTTCTAATCAACTACCCCTCAGATCACTGGTTGGTAGAGTAACATAGTGTAGCTATAAGAAAAGTTGACTCCTTGCATGTCTTTGTCTCGTTGGTATTTCTGCTGGTAGCCCTCATGCATGCACATATAGAGATTAATCCTTCCATGACATGTGTTAATCTGAGGTGTACAGTCTATCCTGGTATCCCACCACAGTGTTGGCAACGGGCAGTACAGGTGTCCACGTGCTGTCTCCACTGCTCTGTGTGTGCATGACGTCCAGTGTCTGGACCCAGAGTGCAGAGGTCACGGGAAATGTGAGGGGACGGAGTGTATGTGTCACTCCCCGTGGACTGGTGGAGTGTGTGAAACTCTCAACTGTTCCAACACTGACTGCACTGGACACGGCAACTGCTCTGATGGTTAGTGCCCTGTTTGTGGGTCAAGGGCACTGTCCAGATGGACTATTTTACAAGCTTGCATGTATACCACGAACCCATTCTGTCCTCGTACTGAAAGACTTTCACACATGTCATGCCGGAATGTCATGCCAGCTTGATATGGATGTGTGTGTACACATAATAATATATACTATATAGAGGAATGCAACGCATTAGTGGCAAGTGAGCATTACGGTACCCGACAGATAGTTATTAACGTATATAGAAAATTTCCACACTACATAGGCTTGCTTCGCTCACCAGTTAATGCTGAATGCATGCCAACTCTATTTGTGTGTTTAATCACAGGGGTGTGTGAGTGTGATGAAGGCTGGACTGGAGAACTTTGTGAAAAAGGTATTGGCCATAATAATGTTACTGGACAAGGTGTGTGTGTGTGTCAAGTACATTAATGCTTGTGATACTTGTTCCTGATGCTCTCACATATCCTTGCAGCATGTCCTAGCAACCGGTATGGGCAGGATTGCAGGCAGTACTGCTGGTGCTTTGGTAACTCTCACTGTCACCCGACTACTGGCCACTGTGTGTGTCCCCCTGGCTTCTCTGGATACACCTGCATGGACGGTGAGTGAGACTGTGTGTGTTGAGTAGAGTGGGATCTTCAAGGAATCTTTCCTCCTCTATTAGCCTTTGCTCCCTTCGTCCAGCTCCTGCTGGATTGGTGTCAGTGTGTATTGTTGATCTCTGTTCAATAATGTTCCGCAGAGTGTGGTGAAGGTTACTATGGAGCTGGATGCAAAGACAAGTGAGTAGAGTGGTATTATAATTATACATAACTAATCTACAAGTCATCCATTATGTAGGTGTGTGTATCCTGACTGTTCTGGTCATGGCCACTGTTCTAAAACTAATGGAACTTGTCTCTGTGATGAGGTATTTCACTTGTGCATGCAATCAGATAAAGATTAATAACCCACGTCACTATTTCAATAGGGATGGACAGGAAATAGCTGCAATACATCCGAGGAAAGCAGTGGCTCAATGGAACTTTTTAACTTTTCTTCTTCTGCGTCCTCACCGTCTTCCTTCTCCCCCTCCCCAACCTCCACAGGTGTTTACTTGGAATCTCGCCACAACCATCAACATCAGACTACAGTAAGGCATTATTGCATTTCAAGTGTTTAGCTGCTGTATTGTCACAGAGTGTTGCAGCCGGTAGTGAGTGTGACTGCAGCAAGTCATGTAGGGAGGAAGGGGTCAAATGCAGTGCAGTGAATATAAATAGCACATCGCAGTAAGTCATTTACACCCAGCAGGTGTAGTCTTCACAAAGTCAAACACACTCCTCAGGTCACCTGTGGTAGTGGCAGAGGATGCCACCATTCTACAGTGGACGGTGGCCATATCCCTGCTCATTTCTCTTCTCACTCTTCTAATCCACGTTCTCTTCTGCTACATCACTCGTCGCTGGGCCTACATGGCAGCATGCAGAACTCGGGGAACCTTACTTCCACATCATACTGAGAGAGCCAACTTGCCAGGAAAGAAAAAGCTAAAGCGACGGAAGCCGCGACCAAAATATCATGTACCACTTATGTTGCACTATAGCTCCAGCACCGACTGTAGCTTATAGCAGTTCATCATTCCATTCATCTTTAGGTTTTCTTTTTATTTATGTTCATTGTGCATTGTGTTGTAAAATATGGTGATTTTAGACAAATTTCAAGTGTCACATTTTTTTACTCTCGTGAAGGGTAGACTAAAGGAGGGGTGAGACATTATGCTACTAGATGTGCAGAAGGCATACGATAGTGTGTGGCGTAACGGCCTGTGGTTAAAGTTGTGGGAATTTGGTAAGAGGGAAGATGTGGAGGGTCATAAAGAAGATGTACGAGTATTCAAAGAGTTCTGTATTGTTGGATGGGGAGGTATTTGATGTGGAACAGGGGGTCGCTCAGGGATGTAGCTTATCTCCAATTTTGTTTTCCGTATTTATCAATGGGTTGTTGAGGAAGCTGAGATTGGGATCGATTTAAGTAGTGGTGGGAGATTTGGAGGCCTTTTGTTTGCAGATGACTTCGTTGGTGTTAGTGAGTCTAAGGATCAGTTACAGACACTTATAGATGTGGTGCATGCTTACTGTTGAAAATGGAGGCTAAAGGCTAATGTGAGTAAGAGTGCAGTGATGGTGTTCTCTAGGGAGTCAGTGGATCACCGGTGCTTGGAAATGGGGGGGAGTATGTTTTGCCTAGAGTATCTAAATACGCATATATACTTGGGTGTTGATTAACCCTCGGCGCGCATGCGCAGTGAGGGTTACTGTAGTTGGGTTTGTCTGTCTGTCTGTGTGTCTGTTACTCTCAATCTCACTTCTCGGGTGTTTGTTCGTCTCACAAAGGATACGACCTACTTAACGGGGTCATAAAGAAGATGTACGAGTCTTCAAAGAGTGCTGTATTGTTGGATGGAGAACGGTCAGAGGCATTTGATGTGAAGCAGGGGGTCGGATGTAGCTTATCACCAATTTAGTTTTCCGTATTTATCAATGGGGGTTGTTGAGGGAGGTAGAGGAAGCTGAGATTGGGATTGATTTAAGTAGTGGAGGGAGACTTGGAGGACTTTTTTACAGATGACTTCGTTGGTGTTAGTGAGTCTAAGGATCAGTTACAGACGCTTATACAATAGATGTGGTGCATGCTATTGTTGGAAATGGAAGCTAAAGGCTAATGTGAGTAAGAGTGCAGTGATGGTGTTCGCTTGGGAGTCAGTGCATGGTGCTTGGAAATGGGGGGGAGCATGTTTTGCCTAGAGTATCTAAATACACATACTTGGGTGTTGATTTTACTAATACTGGTGCATGGGATGTGCATATCAAGAATGTGTTAGACAATGGTAGAAGGAAGGCTAATCAGTTGCATAGTGTAATTAGTGATAGGGATAATAATTTGAGTGCTCGCAGGTTGTTGTTGCTGGCGGTGGTTAGGCCAACTTTAGAGTATGGGAGTGAGGTGTGGTAAGACAATAAGACTCAGGCAGCTGCGTTAGAGTCCGTGATGCTGGGAGGAGCTAAGCGTATTCTTGGGTGTTCGTCTAAGGTATGTAATGAAGCCATTAGGGGGGATATGGGGCTTGATATGTTGCAAAGCCATCGGGATAAGAATAAGTTGAAGTGGTGGTATAAGCTAGCGGCATTGCCAGGCAATAGGTATCCAACGTTTTTAATCAGGAATGGAATTTTAAGCTACGGAGTGGCAGGCAGAGGAAATGCTGGAGTAAGGTGATTGAGAAGGGCTTTTTTGTCTATGGTAGGGGACAGTATCAATGACAGGGAGATTACAAAGTTTTGAAGAGGGGCTATATAGCAAAGTAAAGCTGCTGTTTTATGTATAAGACATTTAACAAGGTGGTAGAGTTCAAACAGAACTTGCATGGGAAAAGTGATGCTGGTTCTAGATTAAAGTTTATATTCAGGTCAGGCACGCGCGATGGGCTAAATGAGGAACTGGGTAGGCATAGTGGGAGGGAGGGGATGAAGGAGTTCCTGTTGTGTGATGAGTGTGAAAGTGTGAGTCATGTGTTGTGGGAGTGTTCATCATAATTATAGTAGTCTTAGGAGCAATTTCTTAGTTGCCCTACAGAGGGGGTGCTTGGGGATGATGTGTCACACATGAATACTGGTTGGTTAGCATGCATGGTGCAGAGGAAAATGTAATGTTTTATATAATGCTAACATGTGTGGTGCTCTAAAACCGAAGTATTCAGTAATGCGATTTCAATTAGAACGTGAAATTTGCTCTTTTTTGTCTGAAAAAATGTTCATTCATCGCCATCACACTAGGTGAGATCAATAAGGATTACAGTTTATTGCCATAATGAATGGTATGTTACATCTTAGCTACACCAGACAGATACTTGGTAACAATCTCAGAAATGTCATTTCAGACGACGTGAAGTGTGCCTCACACCAGACCTCCTTATCGAACAGTGCAGCACAGCTATGAAGATCAGTGGTGAACTGTTTTCCCAAGCCATTCTTCATTCTTCCTAGTGAGGTTTACTTTAAAATACAAGAGACTGGTGGAAATAATAGTATTATTATAATTGGGTGAGTACTGTTCTGGGTCTGTGGTGAATAGTAGTAGTAGCAAAGTCTCATAGCACTCTTCTACACCTGTTAAAATGTTTGAAATAACAGCACATGCATGCACAACCATAAAATAATAAATAACATAAACATACTAGATCTTGATCATGGTCACTCTGTACAACTACCTCTGTTGCATTTTCACGTTGCTACTTCCACTTAACTTGTTATGTGACAAAAGTGCAAACCAAAGCAAGGATGAGTGGATTAGGAGGAAAGTGGGCAGGAAGACTACGTCGGAACCCCGAGAGAAAGGCACAGCCAGGCGAGGACGCCTGCGGCTCAAAGGGGGGGATGTAGCACCCGTACTCTATGCAAACTGCTTACCTAATCTTTCCCATAACTCATTACCTAATCTTACCTTGTCATTCGTATAAAAAGTGTATGCACATGGAAGATCATCAGATTTGAGAGACTAAAGGTATAGAGAGATGAGCGTCGTCACGCGCAAGGCTGGTCGCTCCACACATACGATATTGGTGAATGCCTAACTCTTACCTTCAAGACACTTCAACTAACCACTTCAACCAGTGACACCCTGTAGTTACTAGAATGAGATGACGTTAACTGTTCTATATAAGATACCATGAATGTGTTCAAGCACCCAATATTGTCCAACACAAATGACGCTTTCCTGAAACCGAATGGCTATATAGAAATGCTTCAACCTACCCCATGCAAGTCAACAAAGAAAGTTCGCTACAACTATATTATTATTACTATGCTGGAAACTGCACCACAACACGACTCAAAGTTTCACACTCATCCTCACACAACAGGCACTCCTTCATCCCCCCCACTCCCTCTACCCAATTCATCTTTAGTCCATGTGTCCCTGACTATTGCTTTTATGTCTACCTGGTGAAGACACTTAAACTGTACTTTAGCTTTGGTGAAAGATCAATTCCTTGTATAGTTGTTTTATGTCCTTTCGAATTAAACTGGGCCCCCAGAAGCCGTTGCGCATAATAATTACAACATACTTTATTTATAGCTGTACTGTTTTTATGGATGGGACATACGGCTAACTGTTGGATGAAGCATATTGAAAAATTGTGTTATATGTTATAAATATTGATGAGGGTCAAGGTGAAGTAAAGTTTATAAAGCATAACATTCCATAACAGTTTACATGACAACATCGGTCTTTGTTGGCCAGACGTTGATGGAAGGGGTTAAAATCTGCATCTTGAAGTCGTAAAGGTGGTGATCAGTGAACAGTAGTATATAGCATGAAACCCTCAAGGGCAATCCTTCACTCCTGTAGAAATGTATTTAAAAAAAGGTGTTAAATCACGAGCAGGATCAAAGTAATGTGGCTACATGGCAGTGGTGCAAGAACAAGGAGTACAGGGGCCGCTACACCCCAGGCTCCTTCCTGTGTGCGTGTTTTCACCTTTGTCACAGATTACAAAGTGTCTTTATAGCTATGAGCATAATGTGACCTTGTGATCAATATGACATAGTGAATAAAATACATGCATCTATCGTACACTGCTAACATTTTTGGACTCTTCGCAGCACCAAACTCGCGCGCAGAGCCACTTAGTGCGCGATAAAAACCAAGCGTATACAGAGGCCACAACATTTTGCGGGTACATTTCTCCTTCGCTGTAACGGCTGAGTGACCTCCAGAATGTGAATGCAGTACCTTTATTTAGCCCTTTTTCGCACCGAATTTTGCAAAATGCCTTGCAAGAAAAGGTCCTTCCCGTTGCAGAAGAGGTCCCATATGGCCCTGGTTACCTTGCGCTGTGCTAAACAAAAGAGATCTCGAACACCAACACAGGGACCATGTTAGCTCCTCTCAAGGCAGTGGAGGGGGTTTGTCAGTCAGTGCAGTGGCAAGGAATTCGATGTAATGAGGAGACCCTCTATGATCAAGTTAGTGGAGGAGTCGTCACAAGCAGAAAGCCACCATACATCAGTCACGCAGAGGACAACGAGTTTAGTAGGTATTGCAACCACTGTGCCAAAAGGTGGTTATGGAAAAACAAGAAAAGACGTGATGGGAATTGTGTGTGAAAAAGGTCAACGGTGTTCAGGCTGGGTCTCGGGTGGGCGGTGGAGGATCATCAGGGGGTCTGTCGTCACGTCAAGGAGACAGCACTGCCAACGTCAGGATGGATACTGTGAACCAGGAAACATTGGACCATTATTTCTCTCTCCTGCATCAGACGCTGGACAAACCCTCACAGATTTGTAATGTAGACGAAACATGAGTCCCACTGAATCAACGTCCACCTAAGGTTGTCACAACCAAGGGGAGAGTGACAAAAAAGGTGCACTCAAGTACATTTGGATTTAAAGGCCAGGTGGCTGGGATTTGGTTTGCCAGCCAGTCTATGATATTAATCCTACCTCAAACAAAATACAAGATTGCAGATATTAAGTATGGTCTTGGCTCAAATGGTTGGACCAAAACCGATCTGTTTGAGGCATGGTTTATTGAGCACAATGCTATGTCTGCCAGTCTACTCTTCTTTTTGCTCGATGGCCACTCACTACCAACAATGAGTGATATGCCTCACAGTGGAGCACAACTGCAGCCTACCACCTCACACCACACACGAAGCTCAACCTCTCCA